TATATTAGCCATGCCCATCTATCAACTTTGTTAAACTGACCTAATAACTCTTCCCATTCCTTTCGTGGATTCCCATTATTTTCCCACTCGGTCCGTGCATACTCACGACGGTGATCGAAGAAGCGATTATTATCCTCGAAATGTTGCAATGGGAGAATAGTTGAGTGAATAAAAGAATCTATTGATTCTAAATGAGCTTTGAGATCTACTGGCAAGTCGAAATTCATGACGTGGTTACCGACAATGGTAGGTCTTGCAGGCTACCTACATCCATTAGCAAGTATGAAATCCACGGTTTCCCCGCATTCGGACCTCGGCGATCACGCATATCTCCGTTGAATACCCGAGCATGTCTGCACAAGAATTTACCACGTTTTTACTTTGCAGATGGGGACAAGCTGTGGAAAGAAAACCCCCCTACGAATGCTAGACAACCCTGGCACGGAAGCACGGGAGCTAAGAAAATGCCGAGGGGACGGGACTTGTTTCCGGCGCCTCCCTCCTAACCCTGCCCCTGCAGAGGCTTGCACGATTCCAAAAAAAATCTAGGATGTGCATCATCTTGAAATACGAGTGGTTGGCGGAATCAAACCTGTTTGATGGAGATGAGTGGTGTGTAATATGACATAAATGACTACGACCCGTGAACGGGGGATTCGTGTGGAATCCCCCTATCTTACCTCCTACGACATTTTGGGAGAAGTACCGTGCACTTAGGATTTGTTTACACGGCTGCTTATTTGCTGTGATTGTGCCGTGCGTATCAGCGAAGGAGGTGCCATGCTTAAGGTTCTGAGCGTATCTCGTGGCTCATGATTCAGTACGGAGTAGGGGACCGCATTTCCGCTAAGCATCAATGATATTCCTCTTTGTGAGAGTTTCCGAGTTTGAACTTTGGACAAAGGCGTTGTCTGTGGGTTCTCCTTTTTTGACAGTTCCCGCTATTCCCAATTGGGAAATGTCACCCTAACTTCATCACGGCATCTCTGCCAATTCACTTTGAAGGCAATACAGCGGGATGAAGATGCGAACAACTCCCTTCCATTAGTGTATACCATCATCATTATTCTCTTAACTCCTGGGTCTTCAGCTGTCGGTAGTCTTAACGCTTTGTCCCTCGGGGATGGGATGGGATGGATCCGTGAAGGTTCCACCGAGGCACCGTGCCCTCAAATGGGGCTTGGAAGTCACTAATCCGAACCTTTTCTAAGAAGTGAAATGGATGATCCTGAACTCTGGACGCATCGTTCAGACCCACGAGCGACCTACTGACCTTATGATCGGCTATTTCTCTTGTCACGGATGTGCCGCGATAGGACGCAGAAGATTGCAACTGCACGGGGCCCTAGATGTTCTTATTTTGCTCCTTTTCCATCCACAAAGGGTGCACGCGGCATGTTACCGACAGTATGGCTTCCAATCACCGTTTTGCATTTAGATGGCCTAGTTGCACAATGTACTTTGTACTTTGTACTTCTTGACAGGTGTGGGGCGAGAATTCAAGAAGGTGTGAAACGACCGCCGACCGTGAACTAGAAGAATGGCTCTTTTTGCGTCTTTTCTCGGCCACAATCTGTTTTCCTCTCTCCCCAAATTCACGGACAATGGAATTGTGGAATGCGGTTATCGCACAGCCCATCGTGGCCATTGCCGTGGTTGGAGTTACCTATGGAGTGTGGTTGACAGCGTATCGGCTATGGTTCTCACCAATTGCTCATTTTCCTGGACCAAAACTGGCCGGTTTGACAATGTGGTATGAGTTCTACTACGATTCGTTCCTCGAAGGCCAGTACACTTTTCGAATCGCTGAGATGCATCGCAAATACGGCCCCATTGTGAGAATCAGTCCCTTTGAACTGCACATCGACGATCCAGAGTACTATGAAGTCTTATACTCTCGGGATACACCGAGGGACAAATACATACATTTGACTGGCATGTTTGGGGCACCGGCCTCTTCTTTCGGAACAGTCGATCACCGCCGCCATCGGATACGTCGACAACCTATGAACCCATTCTTTTCTCAGCAGCGGATTCGACACTTGGAGCCTATGATCCGCAGAATGATTGATAAACTGTCCAAAGGAATGCGAGATTGGAAGGGGAGAAATACACCGCTGCATATTTATCATGCGTTCAATGCCTACACGACAGACGTAGTTGCGGAATATACTATGGGTGAATCGTTCCATTATTTGGATGACCCTGATTTCACACCACAGTGGTCGAAGACGATTGAGGCAATCGTGCGGGTCGGAACTCAATTCAAACAGTTTCGCTGGGTCTTCACCCTGTTCGAGCTGCTTCCACGGTGGCTGGTTATGATTATCAATCCTCACATCAGCCTGGTGGTTGATCAGAGACTCGAAAGTTTACGACTAGCGAAATTGGTCATTGAGAGTCAAGCCGCGGATGGGAATTTGACAGATGATAAGGCTAGTGTGCCGAAAGGTACATTGTTTCACGCGTTGCTAGACAGCAAGCTTCCCTCGGAGGAGAAGGCAGCCGGCCGTTTGAGTCAAGAGGTTTTCACTGTCATCTCGGCAGGAGGAGAAACAACTGCGAAGAATTTGGCGACACTCACCTTCCATCTACTTAACAACCCAGACAAGCTACAAAGGCTACGGGACGAGCTCAACCGACTTGACCCCGATGGAACAGCGACGTTGGTAGAATACGAAGCTATGCCGTACCTTGTAAGTTTCTCCATTCGCAGTGTCGAGCTTATGAAATGCCAAATATCTGACAATATAGTAGACTTCTGTTATGCTGGAGGGCCTAAGGTATGTAAAACTTTTGTCTTTTAGCTCCGCTGGGGCTACTTTACTATTTGTCTATCTAACATTCATGAAGAATCACCAACGCTGTAGGAACAAGGCTTCAACGCAGCTCTCCAGATCAAGTCATGATTTACAAGGACTGGGTCATTCCTCCTGGGGTAAGCTATTTTTATCCACTTGTTTGTTGTTTCTCCGGTCCTGTTTTGACGATATACACCAGACAAATGTCGGGATGACCGGCCTATTTATCCACCACGATGAAGATATTTTCCCAGACGCGCACAGCTTTGTTCCAGAGCGATGGATGGACCCAGCGAAGAGAAAAGGCCTCGAAAAGTATCTGGTTTCTTTTAGCAAGGGATCAAGACAGTGCATTGGCATCCCGTATGTGGATATCCTCTGAGTGTTCAATTTCAATTGTGTACTAACATCTTTTGACTAGCCTCGCACGTGCGGAGATTATTTTAGCAATCGCCACCATTTTCCGGGAATTTGAGATGGAGCTCTACGAGACTACAGTGGATGATGTTCGAACTGCAAGAGATCTGTTTGTTGGTCAACCGCGCAAAGGAAGTCAGGGCGTTCGCGTTATGATAAAGGGTGTGAATGGACATCCTGGTCAGAGTGAAAAGTCCCTATGAAGGCTCTTTGGTTTTGTTCTCTATTGGTGAATACTTGTCCGATTCTAAGCGAGCGCCATGAACAAGTGGAGTAGAAGAGTGCTACCGAAGGCTAGCTCATTGCAATCATACAAGTTACGCCAAAATTCCAAAACCCTCTGATGGATCTTTCTCATCTGGGGCTGGTCTAGCGGATAGATTAGGTGCAAATCAGGGATATAAGCGGCTACCAGCCTCGATGTAAACCATGTATGTCATCGGCTTTTTGATCTCAAACGTAAAGCGCATGGGGGATCTACACGACAAGAATAGAAATGGAAGTGGATATGTCCGTCCTTGAATTATACATATATTATTTGCCCTCCTATGATCGATCGATATTTCCAAGGTTCGAAAACCAGCCGCGCTCTGGCCAGGGGCGCGTGGTCAGGCTTTCAACCCCTTACTTTGGTTTGCATTCTCCGCCCCTCGACGGTTGGTAACAAAATACTCCGTAATCGGTGGATTTCAGGATGTGGAGGCAAAATATGAAATCCAGCAGGGGAAAAAAAAAGAAAACCTCACGGGCCAGAACCGACAAGCCGGAAGGTTCTCAGCTGGGTCCTAGGATCGCCAGATCACCCTAATTCTCCGAACCTCCGGCCTCGGGCTTAACATAATCTGCGATCTTCCAAATCAGAGTTATTAACTCCCTATTGGGTTTTAAGTGGAATTTTTTATTGTAGTCTATGCATGGATGATAATTTTTAGGCATAGGTTTAGCTTCGTGGCGTCAAGCCCGCCTCAAATGCCTACACTATATGGTAATATCTCCAACCAACCGGCTATGGCCTGTGTCTTTGAGATTAGATCTTGTATTATTTTTTATTTAATCTCAAAAGCCGGTGATAGCCATTTCCTCCTTGGGGTTCAACGCGGGCCAAAGGACTGTAAGCGTCTCACCTTTTTGGTCATTCACCTTGAAATGGACCTCACGTTTCAGATACAGCGCTATGTGAGACAATATTCACCTCCTTTGTATCACAGCAGATATGCTCTCTCATAAATTGCTCCCATTCGAGCATGGTGTAACATCTTCCATGAATCCTGATGCACCTCGTACCAGGACTCTGGGGATCAGCCTTCAGTTCATGGATGCGATGAAAATACCCTTGAACTTCTGTCTGCATGTCCGCATGTCGATACACATGTTGTGAAAGCTTTAAGTTGCTATGACCTTAGAACTTGTCACACCTGAAAATTAGACATGCAAAATTGAGAGTACCCAACGAATCACCATGTAGGGTCATCTCCAAGAATGTTATGGATCATGTTCCAAGGGAGAGGTATACAGGCGCGGTGATACCAAACCACGCGCTTTCCTGGCCTTTTTCCCTGGATCTAATTTCGAATAGAACTATGTTTCCTCGAGCCTGAAGTCTGTTTAGATGTGCTCATGGGAATGGTTCGAGCCAATTGATAGGTTGCTGTATTGCATCCAGTTCCAGTGCAAGAACAAAGTACATATTTGCCCTTGGTAGCTTCTCAACGATTCTCTATCTGTGCAATTGTCCGCAGCCATAACGAATATTGTTTTTTTGATTATATTGTGATGCTTAAAATGCATCCAACCCACAATTACCGACACTCCCGTCGGTCTGCTTGTGATCGTTGTCGCGGGCAGAAATTGCGATGCGAGCGCGATCATATGAACGGCATGTCTTGTGAGCGATGCCTTAAGGCCCAAGAAATATGTATCACAAGTATAAACCAGCCTGCACCGGTCATCCTACCCTCAAACCATGGGCAGAGTCAAGTTGCCCGAGATGACCGTGAGAGCCAAAGATTCAATCAAAGGCATGAATCGATGTCTATTCTTCACAAATTATCCGGCCCAAGAGTGAAGAAGTCATTGCATTCTCCAACCGCAATCTCAGCAAGGCACAATATGAAAGAGCATCACTACTGGGGAGGAGTAGCGTCAATGCCAGTTTCTCCTGAAGGCAATTTCCTTCCATCCTCAGGGGACATTGGGTTTAATATGCCCCTAGACTTTGGAAAAATCATGCCTCCTGTTGAGCCATGGGGTCATCATCAGCCAAACTGGTCAAGCGATGCGTATAACTTGGTAAGCCAAACCCGAAGGGGAATAACGCCATTCAGCTACTGACTGTCAACCACTATAGCCTCCCGATTGGATACCATCGGATCAACTATATCCTTACGAGACAAATTCTTGTTTTCCCTCTATTTTTACTAGTGATGCTCCACCAGGCGCCAGTCAGGCTACTGAGGTGGCAATCTCTCAGCATTTTGAACCTAAGCATCTCAACTACGGCGAAAACCAATCCCTCTTTGCAGTAAAGGACCTGCCGGATCCTGCGTGGGTAAATCACACAACCCTTCCGACTACAAGCAATCCTCTCCCAATGAAAACAAGCCATGAAGCTCTCTACTCTACGCAGGATATTCGCAGGAGTCTCTTGAGATTGAAAATGGGACTTCTTGATGGTTTGGAGCTGTTCGAGACTGGATCAATGCCACTGGAATCTTCATCCCTTTTCTACGAAAATTCTAATTTGTCAATTGAAACACTCGACCTTCCAATATATCGCCTGCTTGATCACTCGTCGTGGCTTTTGGCAATTGTTCGCTCTTCGTGTGGTACACCGGAAGAGAGCTTGGATGCTACACTTGCTCCACAACGATCTGAATCGGAGAACAGCGGATATGAAGACTCTTCGTTTATCCTTCCGCGCACTGGTGACAATAGCTTGGATGATGATATCACCACAGTATCCCCACATGATTCTGGTTATCATACGGCGACGACATCTCCGGATCGAATAATGCCTCCCACAATCCGGAAATGCGATATAACGCTGTGGCTCGGCATATTGGAGGCACATTGCTCATTAGTTTGCATATATCGCGCTGTTTTCATGCGCTTGTACCAGCTCTTTCTCATCATTCCTCCTGTTGATGCAGCGACAATTCTGTTGTTGCCAAAAGTACGGTTCGGGGAGTTTCATTTAGATGGAAATCTCATTACTCAAGTTCAATTATTGGTTGAGTTTAGCGCAACAATGATGGGCAAACTTGACCGGGCACTTAAATTGCGACCAAGTTCAGCTCAACCACAAAAGGATCGAGGGTTTGATCCATCAGAAATAGGCCACCAGAAGGATTGGTCAACATCGATCCGCGACATTGTCCTGGCACAAGAACAAGATCCCTGTGAGATGTCTCTGATGCAAATAATGGAGTGTTTACGGCAGCTTGTTAAAGACCCAGTCATTATCTAATTATATGGTCTATCATTATTCTCGACGCTTTCTAAAAGGATTTACTTGCTAGCTTTTAGGACCTAGCAATGTAGAATAACCAAGTTATAAGTTAATAAGAACGATAGTAACGTATTGATCACATAAGGAAAGGTTGAGATAGGTAGAGTTCAATACTGCTTACTCACACTCACGATCATTTCAAATTGGGTGTACAAAGGACGATGTACGGCTACCACGCGAGTGAGCAACCAGCCATATTGAATTGGGAATGGAAACCGCATCGCATTCGATTCTTTTCAATCCAAGATCATGGTATTGACGGGCCGTCCAGTCTTTGCAATAATGGATACCTGCACTAAGCTTCCCCTGCATTTTCGGACACCGAGTCCGAGTCCGATCTTGATTTAGAATCTATATAAAGATTCCTGGATGATAACGTAGAGCATATTCTCTACTGTTAAAAGGAACGATTAGTCTCACAACCAAAGAGAGATACATCTCACAAAAAGAAGAAAATAGTCATCCCAACTTATTTTCCAAATCTGAACCCTTGACGATGGCTGCACCCAATTTCAAAGACATTCCTGATCTTACTGGAACGTGGGTATTGGTATGTTATCTCCATTTTATTAGTTCCCTGACACAAGTTTTGATATGATGATCAGAACCGAAAACTGTCAACCGACCCAGATGAAATTATGGTCTTGGTAAGAGCATAGTGAACGGAGAAATTTGCTTTGCTTTACTAAGAAACAATAGCAAGGTGTACCTTGGGTTGTCCGAAAAGTCTTGCGGCACGCCCGCCTTTCCCTGCAAATCTGCCAGACCACTTCCACGTGCATAGATGAAAAATGCGATGAAGGTTCTGTTCTGGCCGACAAGTCGAACTCAGTCACAAGTCTTCGTATCACACAAACTGTCAATCCAGGTGGATTTGACAGCGAAGGAAGTTATCTGGTCGATGGAAGCAAGCAAGACCTTTCGCTGCCTATCTTCGGAGATATTCAAATGCAGCTCGAATTCATCGACAAATCTCATGTCCTAGAAGACTCCACCCGCAAAATCGTGGAGGTAGCTAGCTTGACCAACATAGTCATTCAAGAATTGGCTCTGAATTCGTCAAAGGGGTGGGATGCGGAAGTGATTTGGGGATTTGAGGAGCTCGAGGGAAAGAAACATCTCACTCGAAACATTAGGACCACCAAAGAGGAGAAGAAGGTTATTGCGAAGATGGTTTACGATGGCCCAAATTAGATCTCATTTACTCTCTGTGTTGATAATTCTATATTTTCAACGGAAATCGCATCTTGAAGGTACCATGGAAACAATATTAACAGTATCCTTCTAAAATGACGCGCTTGTATAATCCTTTGATTCTAATATAAATTGCAATTTCTCTCCTCAAATAGGACATAATGGCGCGTTCTACGTCTGAATTCTGTAACAATGCCTAGCAAATATAGCTAAACGGAACCCGACGAGATAAATTGCTGATATAAAAATCAATCGAAAGCTCGATCACGACGACAAACTAACGAGAGCAGTACAAGGCAAAATGTATATTCATCAAAACATATATTTTCTCAAATAGTAAGAGTTCGGCTATGGTTCTCTCAGACCTCAAGCTCAATGCAACCATTCATGTTGTTATCATAGGGACAAGAAGCTTCTTCCCCGAAACCTTTCCATTTCGCAACATGTCCAAACCCTCCAAAATTCCTTCAAATCTGCCTGGAATGGTTTGAATTGGGCATGGTTTAAGCTTCCCATTTTCAATCAATTCTTGGAGTTCTACGTACCACGACCGAGCCCACACTCCAATCTCTGGTTGAGGTGGAATACCGTAAGGGTCTGGAAGCTCGACACCTCGTCCAGAGATGGCGCCACCCATAACCAGCTCGTGCTTGATTGTCTTTCGCGAGCAAAGACTTTCTTGATATTGCTCAAGTGCACAGTATCGTCCTCCAGTACGACCGATGGCTGCATAGCACATTCGCAGTGTCTTGGCTTCCGCAAAGGGGTCGAGGACATAGCGCAAGGTGTTTTTTGTGGCCGCTCGAATGTCTTCAGCACAAGTGGGAGAGTTGTAGTCAAAGACAAGATCTGCCCCGTAGGATGTCACCAAGTCGCGGTTGTGAGGGGAGCATGTTGTGATTACCCGGTGGCCGCAGCTAAGCACGATGGATCAGTTACTTGAACAAAAAGCGAAAGGAAGGAAATGGTTTACTTACAGCTTCACCATCTGAATTGCAAGTAGTCCTATAGTGCTACCACCGCCGTATACCAGAACATCCTCCGCCTTGGGGGCGGGTGTGAGTAGTGTTCCGGGCAATCGAAGTGACCAAAACAGAGCCACCCCAAGCGTCGCAATTGCGGTTCCGGAGAGGGAAGGTGCATTGACTAGCTCCATTCCCTTAGGAACATGGAAAGTAAAATCCGGTTCAGTTCGAATGTACTCGCAATAGGCTCCCGATGTTGGATCTGACATATTTGAGCCTTGAACGGCGCCGAAAGCCTGGTCTCCAATATGGAATCGTCCCTGTGCAGCAACTTTGCTTCCCACAGCAACTACTGTACCTGAAAAGTCACACCCATCCCAGAGCCCCGGGGTCGGGAACCGCAATGGCATCTTGAAATCACACGGGTTAAGGGCCACAGCAGCAGTCTTCACCAACATTTGATGGGGATCGAGTTCTGGGATAGGCAGACCATGAGTGATTTGAAGAATCCCGCCTGCATGTTGAATGATTCCGGTCTGGGTAGAGGGTAATTTATCCTGAGATGCCATGTTTAGATCGTAATACAATGCTGGTAGAATTGTAACTGCTTATAAACTTGGAAGACTCATTTATATAGAACGGCCGTACGACATAGATGAGAAGGATAACAATCACACGACAAGACCCGAAAAAAGAGACCAAAATAGACACTCGACTTTCTAGGCATTTATTGTTTGATGGGTTTAAAATCGGCCACTCTGGTCGATGTTGCAACCTCTCTGCCTTCATATGGAAAGATTGGGCGAGATATACCCGGGGTAGTAACTGGACTCTAGGGTCCGCAGGAATAAGTAGAACTTCCTATTTGTACAGATTCATAGTTCATTCTTCATGATCATAACATGGAACTGGGGTTAGTCCGACGCTAACCAGAAATCGTAACACCCTACAAATGCAATATTAGGGCTGCCAGTGAAGTATGGTCTTTCTTACGCCTTCTCCTGCATATAATATGCATTGTGTTGTATCACAGGAGTACATTTCAACCCAGGCTGCGTTGATCATTTCCATTAGACAACTTCCGAGGTTGTGATTCTATCTGTTTCCATTACAATTGAGGGGTTAGCTACAGGGGTGGAAATGAAGTCCATGGGTATGGGATCAGGTTCCAGGAATAAAGAGATTGACCAGCATTAGAATTAACCTCGCGAGAATTCTTAGTATCAGCTTTGCAAAATATTCCACTCTCAATACATCCCATAATATACTTTCATCGGTAGTATAGTAGATATATATAGTGGTAGGTATCAAGAGAAGTGGGCTCGCCGTATGCATTGCTTATACTTGTGCTGAATCAATACATTAAATATGCACCGTGAAGTAAAGGAAGTCCACTTTTAATTTGGAGAAAAATAGAGAAGGGGAAATATAATGATCATAGCTTGTTTGTACGGCATAGAAAGCTACCGTCGACATGATCTGATCATTCCCATTACGAGATAAAACAATATATTCGTCCAATTCAAAAGAACTGGAATCATAATCTCCTGAGGACCAATACTTCCTGGCATTGGCTGGCGGGGTTAATCAAAATAAATGTCATTCAAATTCCCGATGCTGACTGCATTGTTGGGTCTTGGTGGTGGAGATCGGCAAAGAAAAAGAAAAGAAAGAACAGGGAGAAAGAGATTAAGAGGACTCTCCCAGGGCTTCCAATTTGTATGGCTACTAGGGCTAACTAATATTATATAGTATTCCGTCTAGTTAATTGCTATCTATGGAGGTTGGCGTTGATATATGAAGAGATGATCTGAGTCATGGGAGTATCCATTTGGCTGTAATACCAGCCAAATAATGTTGGGATATGAACCTGAAGAACTAAGAGATTTTTTCGATCAAGGATATATATCTTGAAAAGAGTAACTCAACAAGGCCAAGTCGCGTATCACTGCGAATATCGAGCAATGCTTTCGAACAACGAGAATCTCAAAGAGCTGATAGAAATATATTTATTCTCAATTTCCTGAGACTGTTTGGCCCTGAAACTTTCTAACTATGTCCGTACATCCTGATCTTCCTCACTCATTCTCGGAAGATTTAATCAACCTGGGGAGGAGGACTTGCCCATCGGAGGCCCTGCGCAAGTACTCTCCCAACAACACACTCATTCCTGCTTGTTCGGCAGCATTGACCCACTCATCGAGGGAAACGACCTGGAAATGTTGCCCCGAGCCCGACTCCATCAAGGGCATAATCTCATCACGTCCAATCTTCGTTTCGCCAGATTCATAAAGATATGTCACAGACTTTGCAGCTGGTTCGCCGACACTAGATTGGTGAACGGCTTCGAGGAGTTGGCTTGCGGCCAACTGTACGGAAATGAGATCGAAAACCCCCGACCATAAGCTCGAGTCTGGCAACTTTTGGGTTTCTTTGGCGAATCGCATGACATTACCCATAAGATCAAGTTCCGGTGCATCGGTACCGGTGATGCTCGATGGGCGGTGTATCCATACGGGGAGCCCGAATTGGCTGTTGATACGCTCCAGGTAAACTTCGCTCACCCACTTGGCGGCGATGTAGCCATCTGTCGGTTGAGACGGAGGAGGAAATGGTGATAGAGACATCTCCCCGAAGCTTTCTTGGGCAGCAAGTCGTGCAACACCAGCCGACGAGACAAAGTGGAATGGAATACGCCGGGGTAATGCAAGTTTGACGAGTTCCTTTGTCGATGCCACATTGATCAGCTTGAGAGTCTGATATGTTTTCATGAAAGACACATCCGCGCCATTGTGAACAATAATGTCTGCACAGGAGAATATCGATCTGGCCTCGGATTCCGAGAGTCCAAGTTGAGGAGCCCCCAGATCACCATAATGCAAATGAACTTTCGGGTGCGCAAATAGTCCAGGTAAATCTGAGGATCGCTTTCTGACAGCAAGACAATGGACGAACGAGACCTTCTCATCTTCTATGAGTCCTCGGAGTATTTCTTTGCCAAAGAAACCAGTTGCCCCGGTAAGCACCACAGTCTTGACTCCCGAGGGGATAATATGAGTGCCACCGTAATTCAGAGATGAAGTGAGGCCGGGTGCGACTTCAACCTCTGTATCCCAATTCACATCTAGCTCAATCGCGGGGCGAGATATGTCTTGGATCCTGGCCGTCATTGCACGTAGACTGCTGGCTTCGAAAAGTTGATACAATTCCATAGACACACCGAGATGCTCCTTGATTAGAGCTTGTAGGTTGACAAGGGCGAGTGAACTTCCACCAACATGGAAAAAGTCGGACTGGGAATCGATTGAGTGGAAGGTAGTAAGTTCCCGCGGTAGTGCTTGTTGCCAGAGCTGACGCAGTGACTGTTCGGATTGGGTGAGAGTGTTGTCGTCAGGCAGCTTGGATGAAATCAACGGAATGGGAAGTCCGCTGACTACGACACGATCAGTCTTACCCGAGGTGTTTTGGGGAATGCTTTCAACTGGAATGATAGCAGCAGGTCGCATATGAGGCGGCAGTGGCAGCTCGTGGGAAAGGCGTGTGAGGTATTGAAGCGCATTTTCAGAATCGTGTGTGGTAGCCATTGTAGCAAAGGCAACAAGGAATTGATCCCCAGATGGAGTAGCATCTGAACGAACGGATACAACGGCTTGTGTGATAGCTCCAGCTGAAGAACTGACGATCGTGGTCTCGATTTCTTCGATATTGATGCGAATTCCCCTCAATTTGATTTGATTATCTCCGTCCATGCGCCCGAGGAGAATAAGACCGCCATCTTGATTGAGCTTTCCGTGGTCTCCGGTGCGGTGGATTGTTGTCCAGTTCTTTTCCCGGAAGAATTTGCTCGCGTACCGATCATTTGAAAAACGTTCAGTTGTTTTGGTGCCGTCAAGATAGCCCTGGGCAACTCCCGCACCACCAACAACCACTTCACCGGGAACTCCGATCGGAACGGGGTTCAAGCTTTCGTCGACAATGTAAACAGAGTAGTTCGGTAGAGTGTAAAGAGCCTGCGCGGAAGAGGTTGCTGTCGAATCCAGCAGGTGGTACGGAATTTCATTGCCCGAGCATGCAATACTGATCTCCGCTGGCCCATAACCATTAATCAGTTTGAGGTCCGGGCGATTAAGACTCTTAATCTCTTTGATCAGGCCATTGGACATGAATTCACCACCGCATACTGCTGTTGACAAGCGAGAGTTGGTCAGGTTGGAGCGACCATGACGCACCCAACCGAGATATTCCGTGGGCGTCGCAAGGGTGCACGTCACATTCTCTGATGCGATGAGTCGTGTGATCGCAACCGGATCGCCTCGTGTGAGATCGCATGCAATCACAAGGGTAGCACCAGAGCATAGGGAAACCATGATCTGCCACAGAGACGCATCCCACGCATATGATGATTGATGCAGAATGGTCTCTGTTCCCTGCTTAAGTGTCCAGACGACACTGGATGACTGAACATGGTGGGCATAGGCTGAATGAGCAATCATGATCCCCTTTGGGACGCCAGTTGATCCACTGGTGTACATGATCACTGCTGTCTGGCTTGGGACAGCCATGTTTCGGACGGCGCGCGCAGTAGAGCCCCTTAGGCTAGATACGTCGATGAGTTTCGCCGTGGTGCGCAAAAGTGCACAGTCAGACATGGAGTTTGTGTCAACCAATACCATCGGTGCTTGTGTTTCTTTCATGATCACCGCAAGTCTCTCCATTCCCACCTTTTTGTCCAATGGAATGTAAGCACCACCAACACGCAAGATGGCCATGAGAGAACATATCCAGTCTGCACTCGGGGACTGGAAAACCGCAACACGGGTGTCTGTGCCAGCTCCGTTGCATAGGAGCTCGTTGGCAATAACATCGATCCGACGCTGGACTTGAGCATAAGTCAAGGAGCTCTCATCGTGATTCTTCAATGCAACACGGTCCGGATAGCGCGAGGCAACCTCATCCAGACGGTGGACTATAGTCATAGACCATTCTTCTCGCAGCTCCGGTCCTGTATAACACCGTAATTAGCGGAATATCTAGAACCAGCAAGGGATAATTGACTTGCCTCGCCCAGCAGCTACTGCCTCCTGGATGTCATCGTTGGAATGTAATGCCGGCCAGGTCACCCGAGTCGCTGGATTTTGAACAAAAGACTGTAGAAGATTGACATAGGAGCTGAGCAGAATTTCAGCATGCTCGATTCCATACAAGGTCTTCTGAACTGTTAGGTGAATCAGCGTCTCGCCGGCGCCGACGTTGCCAACATCCAGACCTAGATCAAACGAAGTTTCGCCGCCGCCCAAAAGTTCGCCAGCGGCAACACAACCGCAGAAACTTCGTGATTGCTCGACCTTGGGTCGGTAGTTGAAGAGTGTTTGGCATAGAGGATTGTGCGATGCAGATCGCGGAACGTTGAGCTCTGTCAAGATCACATCAAATGGCACACGTGAGTGCGCAAATGCACCCTGCGTGATATTCCGAACCTCCTTGAGAGATTCACCAAAAGATTGGCCTGGCTGTTCAGAGAACCTCACAGGAAGGAGGTTTAAGAAAAGTCCCATGCTCCGCAGGACGTCGGCTTCCGTACGGTTTCCATCTCCGAGACCGATAGAAACATCCTTCAGATCAAAGAAACGCAGAAGAAGAGTCTTCCAGATAGCCAAATAGAAGTGGAATGGTGTTGATTTGAACATCCGGCAACATCGGTCAATTGCACCCGACAAACTGGCATCGAGGCGAATCTGGGTAGTATGAGACCCAAATTGAGCAACCTTTGGCCGCATGTGTTGTAGGGCAAATGGAAGAAGAGGAAGTGCTGGTGGAACCTCTTTATACTGTGCTCGCCAGTAAGATAGATCTCCAGCCCAGGCACCCTCTTCGTATTCACGGAGCTGGCGCATAGTAAAGTCTGGATATTGAAGTCCATCTTCGGAAAGGGTTTGGCCTTGATATGCCTTTTCCACGTCTGACCAAAATACCTCGAAGCTAATGCCGTCCATATTGATGTGATGGAAGCCGAAGATTATCCAGTGCTTTTCTTGGTTGAGCGAAAGTAGCTGAACGCGCATGATCTCGCCATCAGAAAGATTAAACACGTGTGCCTTCATCTGTTTAGTGGCCTCTTCAACTTCTATCTCATCGGAGATTTCAGCTTGCTCCAAGTGCAAGGAAGATTTCGTCCAAACGCCTTGCATATGATTTTGCTCGTTGTCGGTGAAGAAGAAAGTACGAAGGGCTTCGTGATGTTGACCAGCGGTGTGTATAGCATTCGCAAATTCGTGAATCTTTAGGTGACCAAACAACTCGAACGTCGGTGTGATGTTGAATGCAGTCTTGTCCTCTATTAGATGTTCTAGAAACCAGAAACGCGACTGCCCGTAAGACATTGGCACAGTTCTTTGGATCTCACGCTTTGAGGTGCCCAGTTCGCCGTCGTCAGTAAAGACAGATGAGGATGTATCGTCATTCTTTTCAGAGTTCGAGTCCCCGGTGATCAAAGACGTCGCGGAGCTACCACTGTACGCGTTTGTTGCGTCCGGTAGTGCAAACTTCAATTCCACGGAGCTGGCTCTGGTCTCTGGAACTATTATGTCCACCGGCAAATCTGCGGGGGGAGCTGTTGCAACCACCGGAGGATTGGATTGGTGCCCCGGTGGTTTGATAGCCTGTTCGCCAAGGATAAAATTGGGAATCAAAGCTTGTGGCAGAGTTTCTGCAGCAGTGGCCAAAAGCTCACGAATCGACGCCGCGTTGAAGATTTTCAGCACCGGCATGTCGACACCCAACTCCTTAAGGAACCACGATCGAAGGTCGACCGCGACCAATGAATCCACACCAAGCTCATCAGGACTCATGTCCAACATAGGCTTACTTGGATCAGCCTGAAGGGCCGACTGGAGCTTCAACAAAAAGCCATCTAAAGACAATGTTTAGTTTGAACTGGGTATAGGATTTGCGATGCGCGTACCTTGCAAGATCTCAATAACTTCCTGATTCGAAGTTGCCTCAAACAAGCGTGTTTTTATCAACACGCCAGATTTCCCTTTCTTGTCTGCCACCACAAGATTGCTAGACTTGTATACCAGATGTTGGAAGATTGGGTTAGAAATCCAACTCTTGGACTCATCATCGTCAATTCTGAGTCCACAGCACAGCTCAGCGCTCCCTACACGCTCCAGGCAGGTGAGGACACCTTCGGCAAACACCTCATGGAAGTCTTGCTCAGACATCCATGTATGGCCGACTCGATAAAGATATGATTGTTGACCCATGTTAAGCTCTCGCGTCACATAGCCGTTACCGACAATAGCGCCAATGTTAATCGCATGTCCTGCCAAGCCACGGTTGCGGCGCTGGGCTGCCAGACTCGCCATAAACATATTCGCGGCATTGTAGGCAACCTGGCCGGGGTTTCCTGTCATCGCAGCCATCGAGGAAAAGAAAACCATAAAGTCCAACGTGTCCTCTGGGAACAATTCGTCCAGCAAAATACTACCTTCGACTTTAGGACCAAGAACTTTCTCAAGACGAGGGAGATCTAAATCAATGAACATTGTGTCTTGGAGCACCATGGCACCCTGTGCAACACCGGCGACGGGCGGCATGGTTGCGCTGATGTTGCGATAAGTCGCTTGAACAGATTCCCGATTCGTTATGTCACTGGATGTGTTAGTTGAGTATGAGTGACTGCAACCCAAAAGGAAAATACAACAAGAGCTTACTTTGAAAAGACTCGGACAGTGCAGCCATTGGCAGCCATTCGTTGCAGCCATTCGTCGCCAATTTTTGGATTTCGACTTGATATCGCGATGTATCGTGCGCCCTGCCCGATCATCCACTCACAAAGTGACAAGCCAAGCCCACCTGTCAGTCCAACTAACCAGTAGGTTTTGTCCTTTGAAAATTTAACCTGTTTGGTAGCAGGGCGAACCTGAACAGCAAATTGTGATTCACCCCATGCAATTAAAGACTGGTCTGCGAGAGGGGATTGTGCACGAATCAGATCCTGCAGGCCTAAAGAAACAAACTTGTGCATATTGACTGGCATCAGGTCGTATTGTGCTCTGTTCCAGGAGTTTTGGAGCTGCATAGCCAATTGGCCTTTGTCTGAGGTGTATTGGGATTGCGAGTAGTTTGCAGTCAGGGTAGTCTCGCTCTCGAAATGGCAGCCTACAGGCAAACAAGTCTTTAAGAGTGTAGTCACATCAGAGCTGCCACCCATGTTGACGAGTCGTGAAATATTGCCAGGTAACTTGCTTAGTAGTTCACGGCGGGTGGAGTTCTGGTGGATTCGAATCCATGGCCACGAGCAATGCCCTTCCTTTGTTGTCAAAAGGACAAGTTGAACACCCTTTTCGTTTGCGAATTTTGTAAGGACCGGTGACAGGGAGAAATCTGGGTCCAGCACAGCGAGAGTCTTCCCCGGTTGAAGCTGTTGCAGCATAGAGAGAGCAAGGAAATGGAAATAGAGGGTGATCATTGATCGAATACCTAGGCTTTCGGAATCTCCACATCGCACCGCTAGGCCATGGGGCACGCTGACTTGAGAGTCCAGTGTATGCGACAGGGCGATCACATAATCCCCATTAGACGTGTTTTTTCCAAGCACCAAGAAGGAATTGTCCGAGGGGGTGATACGGACAGCACGGAGCAAAGAGTGAGTCACATCAATCTTCAAATTATCCGAGAAAGAGGGCGAGACTCGACGGTCCTTTTCTTCAATTTGATATCCAATTTCTTTCGGTTGAATGGTCACCACAGACCCGGCTCGTTCAACCTCTTTGATGATGAGACGCCTCGAGGAATTGTATCGATCATTTCGTCCAGAGTTGAGACGGAACCGAGGAACTTTGAACTGTCCATTCTCCAGCATCAGCTCCCTCTCGTTGGACCACAAGATCCCATCGAGCTGGCCGCTCTGATCCCAAATTTCAGTAGCTTCCAGGTGGAGGAGCTTCGTTGCGATAATATGGGCATCGGCATCATGCAGCGAATGGAAGTTGAGGAAATGGATATGGAGGTGAGTCATCTCCATGGCCAATGTCCGTTGAACTCCAGAAAACATGTTGCCATAGGGGTTCTCCCCTTGGGCGCCGTGTCCCAGCCATAGAACATTCTTACTTTGTTTGAACAGCTCCTGGAATGACTTCAGATCCTCAGATGACATGTTCTTCAGCACTGGCCGATCCAATTCAATCAAACTAATCACTGATCCCATTACAGGCAGGTTTGTTAAGACAAGGTCGCCCAAAGAGCTGGCTGTGTAAATATTGCTGTAGTGGGGACGGACCGCAGTTGTGATATCGGCGACCATATCAGCAGTCAAGGGAGTTTTCCCTCCGATGATTGTCAATGAGTCCACACCCAGCGTCATATGGTTGGTTGCAACGGGATCGCGAAGGAAATTGACACGGTGATCGACAGCTTGGGTGACCATGACGGAAAATGGCAGAGGCGAAGTTCTAGAAGATGGCGCCAAGGCTTCGAAACCAGACAGTCCAGCCTTTTGCATTAGTGCTTCCCATTTCTCCTCCGATACACAAGGGGACAATGTTCTTCCCTCCTCGTAACCTAACCACCAGCCTGGTAGGCCACCAAGAATGAGCCCGAAGCGCATGATATCGGAGTCCGTGAGTTCGAGCATAACCAGATAACCACCAGGTTTGAGTAGCCGGCGAACATTTGTGAGAGTCGCTTCAAGATTTCTGGTGGCGTACAGGGCCAAAGGGGCAATGACAAGGTCAAAGCAAGCCTCTTCATAGCCTTGTTCCTCGATGTCTTTCTCAATGTCCAACGCCTTGAATGCCATTCTGGATTGATAATCGGAGAACCTTTCACGTGCGTCGTCGAACTGCGAGTCCAAAATATCTGTGAATGTGTATGAAGCAAACGATGAGCCCATCGCACGCATGACTCGATCTGAAGTGGCGCCAGCACCGGCTCCTATAATACATCAATTAGTATCAAAGGTGGTTTCGACAATGCGCGTAGACTAACCAATCTCCAAAACGTTAACATGGGGGTATCTGTGGCCGATCTGGCGACCCGTTTGAGCAATAGCATCCAAGTATGCGTCTATGCCAAGTGTTTTGGTATAAAATTCCGCTAACATATCGTCCTGCATCAGAATTTCGAGTAAATTTATATCTCCACGAATGACAGCAGAAAGGTTTTCGCCAACTGCACGCAGCGCTTTGATGTCGATGCTGTCGGAGTGACTATGTAGGTCAGGTCAGTGTGGTTCAATTTCTGTTTGTGAGGTTAATAAGTAGAGTTGAGTTTCTCACCTGTTCAGAATTGGAGTAATATTGTCCATGGTGTCATTGGCCCATTCTGGCTTTGCGAATTTATGCTCACCGTTGGCAACGGACGTTGTGCAATGCTCCACATATGAGAGAAGATGTTTATGGTTCCAAGTAGCATTCGCACGATCTGAGTCCTGAAGCGAATGTTCGAGTTTTTTCAAGTAGAAATGGGCGACGCGTTCGAGATCTATGCCTAGAGAACGGTCTTGAGGAAGCATGTCTGCAGTGTCCTTTCGTTGCTGCAAGGTAGGCCTATCCACATCCCATATCACTTCCGTGAAAAAGGGAACATCATTGGTGGATGTCAACGGACTCAACGGTGTGGTGTGAAGTCCTTCAAGTTGAACCAAAGTATGTCTTCCGTCTGCGGAGAACATATCAACATCGCCAGAGAGTTCTGCGAAGCGGGCGTCCGTGACTGCAGAATAGAATGGCAGTTCTGCACCGGGAGCACCAAGAGCGACGCAAGCGCTCGGGTTGATACGAAGCCTATCGATCCGAGTAGGAAGGTAAAGTGTGCGCAGACGACCATCTCCTGGGAATGAATAAGCAAGCATGATTGACTGAATAGCTCCATCAAGAGAGGCTGGGTGAATGATCAAGGGCTTTTCGGTTTCGGATTCCACTGGAACAGCGATCAAACCCGCTGCCTCATCCATTTTTCTGCGCAGATTGGAAAGCGCCTGGAAGGGTCCAGTGTAGCCAAATCCAAGCTCGGAAACTGAGTTGTAGAATCGGTCGCCTTCTAGTTCCAGGAATGAACCTTGCGGCTTGGCGTGTGGTGGGAAGATATCGTATTTGGGGTCACCCAGAATAATTTGCAAGGTGGCAGATGCATGAAGAGACATGTTGGATGAGCCCTTGTTAGCGTCGGAATGACAGGCAAACGATGCGGACACAGTATTATCCTGAACTTGATCAACCGAAAGCCTGAAAATGGTTTCCACTCCCCCGTTCTCTTCGAGAACCAATGCTTGTCCGATGACCACATCATGGAAGTCGATCAGTTGCACAGAATCCAGGCCGTACTTTTTCATGACAGCCTCGACCGCCGCCGATATGTACCCAGCTGCAGGGAATACCATTTGACCTTGGACCTGGTGATGGGACAGCCAAGAAACCTCCCTAGGGTGAAGATAGTTGCGCCAGCGCAGCTCATTGTCTGTCCCATCGGGACATTTGACGCCCAGTAGGGAGTGGAATGGTTCCTTTTCGGTGCGGATTGCGGTAGATGATCGAGATTCGTGCCAATAAACCCGATCATGATCCCATGAATACGATGGAAGGCCTTTGATAAGCTGTGGTGTTCGAGTGTTTTGCTTTTGCATTGCTTTCATTTCAAACCCTGCAAAATCCACGACACTCTCACCCAAGGCAATCCACAAGGCACCCAGTGCGGATGAGAGAGCCTCGGTGTCGTTTTTGCCGCGGTTCAAGGTCCCGGTGTAAGGCAATGTCTGGCCAGACACTTCCTGAATCGTTTGCATTGCAGGCCCCTTCAATGCTGGATGAGGACCAATCTCCAAAGCCATGTCAAATGGCCCAGCTGCAGCAACTGCATAAGTGACGGCTTGGGAGAATAGTACTGGATTGACCATGTTGTTGCTCCAGTACGTGTCGGCAAGATTATCCTTCACGTTTTCGATCTCGTCGCCATATACACTAGAGATCCAGATAGCACTGCCACTCGGTGGACGCTGAATGGCTACACCACACTTGCGAATCGCTGCGATATAAGGTGCTGAACAGGAAAGCATGTGATGTGAGTGATAGGCTTTATCCACTTTCAACATGCGAGCAAATTTCTTCTCATCTTCAAGGATTTCCCTAGCTTCCTCGATCGCATCCGCGTCGCCGGAAAGTGTGACGCTGGCGGAGGAGTTGCTAGCCGCCACGCAAATTCTGTTCTCGAGTGACGGCATCTCGCACAGCTCCTTTGCATCTTCATAAGATGTTCCTGCGGCCATCATTGCTCCTTTTTGTCCTTCCTTGTCGTTTGCGTATTGAAGAGACCATCCGCGATAATAGGCAATGCGGATTGCATCCTCTTCGTTGACATATCCCGCGGCATAAGCTGCGGCAATCTCGCCAGACGAATGGCCAACGACAGCAGTGAGTTTCAGATTGGCTGCCCGGAGAAGCTGAACCAACGTAATCTGAACCGCGGTACAAAGAGGTTGCGAGAATGCCGCCTCTCCAATACGAGATGAGGACTTGTCTTTCACAAGCTCGTCCCTTAGCGACCAAATAGGGCGATGCTCCGTGGGTAGCTCCTGCAAAGAACGATCGAGAAGGGCGATGCAATCACTGACCATTGGTGAGCTTTCGAGCAGCTCGGCACCCATTCTCGCCCACTGTGCTCCTTGGCCTGTGAACACTCCAAGGAGTTTTGGTTGACGGATACTTCCCGTCTGCGTGCTTGGTGTTATTTTCGAGGATCCTACGGCTTCATCCAGCCTTGCAGCAAGCTCTCCTGGGCTGGATGCGGATACCGACAGCCGTACTGGCAAAGTTGAACGCCGAGAGTTCAAAGTCCATGACAAGTCACGAATATTGACATCTGAATGATTTCGCAGATAACCCGAGTATGCTGCAATGTTGGCGAGAAGCGATTTTTCGGATGAAGCAGAGAAGTTGAATGGTGACACTGTGACGGAGCTGCTATTTGCGCTGTTCCGACCACGAGCAAGCAGGCGCGCATCAAATCCTTCCAAAATTGCGTGCGCATTTGCACCACCAAAGCCAAAGCTGTTGACACTCGCACGGCGAGGGGTGTTCTCTGGGAGTCGAGGCCATTCTTTCGCGACTTGAAGGATTTGAAGGTCGTTATAGAAGGGGCGTACTGTCGAACTCAACTCATTGAGCAATAGATTTGGTGGGATGACAGCATGCTGTAAAGCAAGCGATGCTTTGAGGACGGCTGCCAATCCAGCCGTGCCCTCGGTGTGACCAATCACGGTTTTGATGGACCCAACATACAAGGGGTCCTCCTGGTTACCATCACGCTGGTATTTGGCTGCTTGTCCAAAGAATGCAGTGCTTATGGCCTCCGCTTCGACAGGGTCACCTGCCGGAGTTCCTGATTTGGTCAGTATGGCCCTATATATTTTCATCTTTATTTCGTTATGACTTACCGGTACCATGAGCCTCGAAATATTGTGGTCGGTCGGTGGGTTTGGAAAGATCGAGTCCAGCTCGAGCATATGTCGTCCGAATCAGCTCTGCTTGAGCCATAGGGTTTGGCATTGTAATTCCTTTGGTTCGACCGTCTTGATTGGCACCTGTCTCCCGAACGATGCACTCGATGTGATCCCCATCCGCCAATGCTGCACTCAACGGTTTGAGGATGACGGCAGCGATTCCGTCACCACGTGCATATCCATCTGCGCCTTTATCCCACATGCGCGAGCGGCCGGTTGGGGAGAGCATTTTCAACTTGCTCTCTGCAATGTATTGCTCCGGTCCCAGCAGGAGATTAGTTCCTGCTGCCACCGCAACATCAGTCTCGCCACTTCGCAAGCTCTGTACAGCCTGGTGTAGGGCAACCAGACTAGAAGAACACGCCGTGTCGATGGTCATGGAAGGTCCGCGCCAGTCGAAAAAGTAGGATACTCGATTAGAAAGAATGCTTCGAGCAGTTCCCGATGCAAAATAAGTCGGAAAGTTCTGCACATCCCGACCTAGCATATCGGCATAGTCATTGGTCATCAAACCAACATATACAGCGGTGTTGGACCCTTGGAGCTTTTCCATAGGAATACCAGAGGTTTCAAGTCCCTCGTAGACAGTTTCGAGCAACAGCCTTTGTTGGGGGTCGATCGAGTTCGCTTCCACTGGTTTGGTTCCAAAGAATTGGGCGTCAAAGAGTCGATGGTCGTCGGACAGCAAATAGGAGTGTCGAACATTCGTAGTGCCATGGTGAAGGCCATCGGGGTGGTAGAAGGCTTTGGTGCTGAAGCGGCTTTCTGGAATCTCGCTAAGAACATCTCGAGGCGCTTTGAGCAAGTCCCATAGCTTGGAGGGTGTTGTTGCATCGCCAGGAAACCGGCAAGCACTTCCCACGATGGCAATCGGTTCCCCGATGTGCTGAATATCGCCTGTCATTGTGTAGTTCAGGTTTCACTGACTCTGCACAGGGCTGGTACGACGAATGTGTGACTGCTCGGATTGCAATGAAAGGTCTATAGGGTATCAATAAAGGACAATCGGGACAAGATTTTCTCCGTGGCATTCAAATTCCAGTTGCCAGCGACGGGGAGCGGTACATATCAATTTGCCGAGGCTCGCTTTGGTTGTCAGATTAGGGGAATTCGGACATCCAATCTCGCTGTCAGCTTGTTATTGCTTTCAGCTGGTTCCGACTCCGAGGACTGCCTCCGGGGTTGGCATATGAAACGAGACAAATCATGATGAATGTATGGGATCCACCAGTGTTTCGCCATGTGTGCGGTGCAAATTCATGCATTTTCCTGCTTCATGTTGCACTAGAAATCCAGAAATCCTGCGCTCGTAGGATTCCAGGGGTTGCCAATCTGTCTAGTTTGAAATATCAAGACCGAGTCCGAGGCCGAAGAGCACTGCCCTGTCGCATTTGCATGTTTGAGATATCGTCGAGATAACTCCATCCACAACTTGTCACCTGGGCACATGCTGCCCAGGTGGCAAGTCTAGCCAACTATTCTTGTCTCTACAACAGGTCGAGACCGTAAGCCCTTGTCTATGGCGAATGCGGTCCATGATAGTGTGGTATTGCAAAAGAAGCCCCCGAAGACACGTTGCGCCTCCATAATCATATTCCTACAGAGTACACACTCGGTAGATTCAGCACCATGGTTAAACTCTGAGATAGACTAAATACATACCTAGGCCGGGATCATTCCCACGCTTCAGTCCTTAACCACATTTCCACGTGCGATTAATCTTTGTCAATTTGAGTCCTAGCCTCAAAAGTATTCGAGTTTGAACTGTTAATGTCCGACGATGGCTGCATATTGTAGTTTGAACGAACAACGCGTGGCAAATAAGCGTGGTCCAGGGAGCTTGTGTTTTTCACTGCCCTATCCCCCTATAGGCAACATGTAAAAATATGTCATACCCTCTCTAGGCAGGAGATAAAAATATAACTCACACTATGTGGGACGCGGCTGGGATCAGGATAGGCAAGAGGGGAAAATCAGGGCCGGACTTGCTGGGAACAAATATGCATAGAGAAGGCAGGAAACGGAAGGAGGTAGCAGGGATTGAGAGAGGATACCTAGGAGATAGCAAAATCGGAGAAATCTACATGCATCTCCCAATCATGCCCGGATGTTGCGCATGCAGACGGGACGGCTCGCGTAGGCGTCTCAGGCACCAATTGTGGCCTAAGGCCTCAATTTCTTTATAACTAATATTGGCAGCAAAAAGAGAATAATGTAACTCACTTGCCGATAGGATGAGTCATTTCGCATATATTGTGCCGCATATGGCGACTAAATTTAATAGATATACACAAATTCATCATTCTCCCGATCAGTCAGATCCTGGAACGCATTGTCTCCAACTTGCACAGTCTCATGTCCAGCCTCCTCTAGGGTATCCTGCATTTCGTGATAATTATTTTGCATCGAAAGATCAACAATTTCAGCTCTCTTGCCATTTTGGACACGGCGACGAGCTTGTTGTTTGTTCAGGTACCATAGGTTGGCCCACTGAATGACAACAACAGCAGCCAAGGCGCTAAAGATGCCGAGACATGCGCGCAGGCCTGGTTGGTAGGCTGGCTTATCCTTCTCGTTGAAGAGTAACGGACCAATGATATTTCCTGCCGAGCTTGCTGCGTTGTACAAACTCATGATGACAGATTTCTTGGTGGTTCCTGCCGTGTTGCCGATGATCCAGGTGACAATCAATGGATTACCGCCAAATAAGAATGCAAGTAGATAGTAGCCAGCAAGCAACTGGCTCTGCACAGACTGGGTCCGAGGCACCGCATACAAAATTGATAGACCAGCTATCACGGGCAGCATGAAACCCGCGATGATAGCACTCTTCAGACGAGCGGTTTGGGCAAGATAACTTGCTAGCAGAATGATGAGGAATTGCAACGCGCCAAATGGCATGGTCAGTAGAGTTGTCCTATATTTATCGTAGCCAAGGCCGCTTAAGATCAGTGGACCGAAGATGTTGGTCACGCTGGCGCCGATGTTGAGGAGCATTGCCATTCCAATCCACAGATAAGTTTTGGGCTCTAAGCAAGCCTCAAGCACATGACTGAACTTGAACTCGGTGTTTCCGGTTCCAGTCTGGTTGGCTCGGAGGCGCTCGATTCCTTGAGCTTTCTCATCCTCGGTGAGGAACCGAGCGGTGGATATATCGTTGTCCAAGCGCCAGTAGACGATTGGAGCAGATGCAACGGTTATCAGGCCGACAACAAGAAAAATGCTAGAAGCGAGTCAGAATATACCACTTTGGAGGGTTTGAGTTTTGGATTCCATACATCTGCCATGATTTGAATACGTCCGACTTTATTTGAGCCAGTCCGTATGATAAAGCAGCTGCGACGATGGTTGCTAAGCCATTTGTGCTATACCACGCAGCGATACGGATCGGTTGCTCTGCACGGCGGTACCATTGACTCGTGATGACACCAAAGAGAGGGAGACAGCCGGCCTCGAATAATCCGAGGAAAAATCGAGCGGCCATCAAGGAGTTGAAGTTGTGGCATGCAGCCATACATGTCTGCGCAATTCCCCATCCCAGGCATAGCGATGGCATAAGGATTTTGTGTGGAACCTTGACAATCAGGTACGAAGAAAATGGTTGCCAGGCAAGTTGGGCAATGGGTGAGATGGAGCCAACCAGCGAATATTCGTTGCCGGTAAGGCCTGTGTCTTTCTGTAAACCGAACGTTGCGCCGTATCCCAGGACTGTCTTATCGAGAATCTGCAAGAAGTAGACCCAGGCAAGTACAACAAGAATAGTTCGGTCGGTCTTGCGGCAGATACGCTTGCTGTCTTCTTCTGTCAAGGCGACACGTACAATCCCACTATTATCCACGAGTTTGTCCCCCTTGTGCTGCTCTGCCGATTCATCGTGAACAACATTTGGTTTGGACATGGTTGGGTCTTGCATTGTAGGAATGTAGAGAACCCTTAGGCCTTGGCTGACTGAATCAAGGGTCGAAGCATATATATATAGGTCAGTTATAGCACCCCACGTCCTCAGGGCGGCACCTTCGTCATCAAGTCTATGAATTCTGGTTTTCCCCATGTTCCCCCACGCCTCCACATCCCCCACGAAAAGTTTAACCCTGCCCACATATCAGCCAAGCTATTTAGCGAACTAACCTTGCCGCATATCGATTAGTGCTTTCTGTGTCTTCCAATCGATTAGAATATCCTTGTTGCTTGACACAGACAACGCATCGTGGAGCTTCAGAGTGGAGATCTCCATTCGGCCATCCCGTTATTACCGAGACCAACCGAAACTCGGGGGTCGTGGGGGTGAACCCGTGACATGAGTACAGGACCACATCAGATGTTTTCCATCTGACATTCGGGTACTAAAGTGAATCGTCGGTGTCTGCCGTCGGCTCCTTTCCCGTATATTGTCATTGCAAATGCCGACGACTGGCCGGAAATATATATCGAAAATAATTATTCCCTTTTAGTAGTATCAACTGCAAGATTATATATATCTCTCCGGGTATTTAACAAATATGCTTCAGATCCACTCCCCCAGAATAGAGAAATTCAACCCTGGTTATTCTGATTACTTAGCTTCGTTAATTGTTTACTCTTTACTCCGCATGCTTTTCGTCCATGTCTTGGTTACATTTTGGGACCGGTCAAGAAAATGTCGAGAACAAACTTTGGGGGAGTTTGTTTTAAATCATATTATCAGGAGGGATCAATACTTAAAAACGTGACTCAGAAAGCATAAGTGGTCAAATTTGCCGAGAACAAGCTGCCATACAGTTCAGCTGACCTCTGTCTCCACAGTTGAGCTGACCGGTGATCCCCCATTATTTCCTTACAAGACGCAGTTCACCCAACCTGTGGCCCACTTAAATCATGTGACCTGGCTCTTATCTTATCTGACCGGTCAGTTCAACCATGGACAGATGCAGATAATGTGACTAGGTTGTGTCCTGAGTCACATGACACTTCAGGCACACAGGCACCGAGGAATTAAAGCGCCAAGGTGAATACTCCCTAGTCCCTAAACAGAAGACGCGTCTCACATTTATTGCAACATTCGAGATTCAATCATTTGGTGCAAATGCTTCATAGTACTCACATCTATCTCACTATATTATACTCTGTGCACCACCGCGCAACATTTATAGTCATTTCCCTTCTAACGAACCCGAACATTTCTCGATTTCACCACGTTGATACATGCGATATTTCGAGAATGCCCGACGACTACTAGACGCTACTCTTTGAGTGCATCATGACCCCAGTTTTTGAGCGATCGATAACTCTTGCTACTTGTGTCGTGCTTGGCTTGCTCCTCTTGTGCTAGATGGCGCTTGCAGTATGAGACCACGCGACGCATGTGGTCAATGTCTTGATCGCTATAGTCGGACGGGTTCGCAGTGGGATTGTGCTCGAGGATCCGCACAATCCGTCGGCCACTATCACCATCTTTAGCTCTCGTTTCTATTTGCCAGGCGCTGGAATTCTCCGACCGAGGGCGACCAATGGATGGAGTACTGACTGACCTTTCATGACCAATAGTCTCCCCTGAACTGCTCACCCAACCCGATGTCTGTGATTGCTCTTCTTCGAGCCAACCGCGAAGCTCAGTTGGACTCATGTTTACGAGATTGTTGAACTCGCTGGTTAGATTGTCAACCGATATTGTTTATCAAGTCTGCCTGTTTAAGGGGAAAGTACTCAATCAAGGTGTCTCTGTCCTTCATTGTTTCAACTGTGGAACTATCCTGATGAGAATTGAATCTTGGATTTCCCGTTGGTTGCGACTTGATTTCGCTTTTATAGAAGTGTTTGCAAAGCTGAATTTGACGTCATAGCGGCGGAAGCACATAGGGAAAGGTATTCCAAGGTTGCTATGTCACGATGACAACCTTGGGAGGCTCCCCGGGTGGTTCCCGTGGACATCCTGGAGGCCTGAAATAACCATGAAAGGCTAGTCCCTAAGTAACTACCTTATGCACAATATAGTACGGAGTATGTAGCACGCATCTCGCACCCAAGACGAGAGAGATCTAGAACTACTATAAAGTACGATCTAAAAATGTCAAGTGCACTGGTAAGGATACAAGAACTATCTATAGAACTACGACAAGATAGACTGGCTGAGGTCACGGGACCTATCAGCAGTAGCATTGACAATTAGCAACACAGGGTAGATCCGCGGAGATGTAGGATCTCAACACCACATCCTTATCTTGCCAAGACCTTCAATTTTGATAACTCATTCTCTTTTGACTCGACGAATTTTCGCAGTGTGAATTTGCTCGCTAGTCAGTCATTCGGTCAACAAGCTTAAACTCTTATCTGAGCTCAATCATAATAAGGATGCCGGAACTATTTGCAAGCAACCATGCAAGGGAGGATTCCCGCCGAGGTGTGAGAGATAAGCATCCATTGCACCAGGAAGGGAATTCTCGGACCAAAATGTTATGATTTTCCTGGCCCTCCAGATTTATATGTCTGCTTTGCCCACAAAACGATTGCTACCAATTGATCCAATAACATCTCCAACGGAGTGCCATTGTCTTCTGATAAAAATGACTTTCGATGCGCTCTCTCCCCAAGAGGTGGTTGAGGCCGTTTCAAAACTAGGCGCACATAAGGGGCATATGCGACTGGACAAGGTGTTTTTTAGTGCAGTATCAGCTGGCTGTATACTTGCATTCGCCTGCGGGACTACTCTTAGTACCAATGCCACACCCTGGTTTCAAGAGAATGCCCCAGGTTTGATGCGGACAATCAGCGCCTTGGTGTTTCCTTACGGTCTGTGTATGATCCTCTTAACAGGTGCAGATCTTTGCACTGGATCCTTTATGGTATGACTACCGGCGAAACAGACATAATGAACATGATTGGGATCGTCAAGTGGCTAACGTGCGTACTAGTTTACTTCGGTTGCTGCGCTCCATCGGCGCTTGTCTTGGTCAAGAATGTTGCTCCACTGGGCTGTGACATTCCTCGGCAACCTTGCCGGATCCTTATTTGTCGTGGCTATTATATTCGGCTGTACGCAATTGACTCTCGCTTCCCTATTGCTGTAAGCCAATGTGACTAATGTTGGACTTCTAGATGGAAATACCTTTTCCGCAGAGCCGTTCAAGTCCGCCGTCATTTCGTTCGCTACAAAAAAGCAGGTCACCCCTGACTTCCAAATGATATTCCTGCGTGGCATTGGATGCAACTGGCTAGTATGTTTAGCTTGCTTCTTTGGTATCCAAGGTCGCGATCTGGCATCCAAGGTTATTGGAATCTGGTTGCCAACCTTTGCGTTTGTCTCCCTCGGCTTCGACCACGTCGTTGCAAACATGACATTCATTCCATTGGGTATCTGGCTGGGAGCGCCACAGATTACGACTAGCCTCTACATCTGGAAAGGCATCATTCCGACCTTGTTGGGAAATATCATCGGCGGAGGTGTATTTTGTGGTCAGTACCCTCACCTATATTTGCTTAGGAGCATCCGACCTGACGATAAGTATAGGAACTTACTATTGGTACATGTACCTGCTCGATCTGAACACTCTGCCTTTATATGGCGAGAAGAGAACTCGAAGTAGCTCATTGAACTCAGTATTGAGCTCAGATCGAACAAGCACTAAGCAACCGGACGTTGAGGCATCCGCTGCAGACTTTGACACCCAGAACCCACATATGAATAAATAGAGTTAATGGAAATAGATTTAATGAAGAGAGGCTCAATTGAATTATAATACAAAATTTATCTATCGATTCTCCGATATTTTTAATCACAGCCTTAATTGGAGTTTGGAGCGTTTATCGAAGCATATAATTTCTACATCGATGTCCTACTCTCCAAACTCCGATATGACACAGCGCCGATCAATCTTATTTCTTATGTATTCAATTCGCCAAGAATTGCGATTATATGGATACATATTGCGTGATGCCAGATTTGGTATATTTCGGCTTATTAGCCGACCAGCCGTGACAGTGGAATAAACCAGCATCGGGTTTCAGGCTGTCACTTGACCAAGTGCAAATCGGCTTGGGGTTTTCTCTGAGTTTGACGGCTATACACGGTGCTGTACTGGCATCCTCTCTGTTCTTGAGAAATGCGAAACAAATCTCCAAGCAAATCGCGAGGGCGGGGCTAGACCAGCATTGAAGCGACAGGCCGAAACCGCCCGGGGCGACGAGCCGAGCAACCTCCATCCCACCAGACCTCCGAGATGTGGAGTGACAGTATATATATCAATCAGAATCCATGTTTGAGGTTCGATAAAACTCTACATTTAGGGGCACTGGCAAACAGATACTTTCAGTGAAATTACTATTATCATTCCATTATATCAAATCACATTCAACCATGGCCCCCGGACTGGTGGAAACTACTGGTGTTCAGACCTTCGAGAGACCTGTCAAAATCTCAGTGTTCCCAGATGGATTCAAAACATCCGGCCAACACCCCCCTATATATTCACAAGTTCGGCCCTATGCCGATTTCCCGAAGATCCATACCGGGCCTACATTGTGGAAAGCCGAGGACTATCGCGAGAAACCTGAGCTTTGGACACATCGATTCACCGAGGAGGAGGTTACAGAGATAAGCTATGCCACAGATCAGTTTATACAGAGTGGAACCCCTTTGACTGGAATATCGAAGGTATGATTATCCGTGCGAATGTGACGAACATGACATATGGAAACTAATTATTCCACAGGCAAATTTCCACTTGCCCAATTTGTCTAAGCGGATGGAAAATCTTCGACAAGATCTGATTAATGGCAAAGGTTTCTTCCGTTTCAGAGGACTTCCTGTTCTGGAGTGGGATCTCCAAAAGTGTGCAACAGCGTACATGGGCCTCGGCACATACTTAGGCTACTTCGTCAGTCAAAATGGCCGTGGTCATGTCCTCGGTCACGTCAAGGATTTAGGAGAAGATCCCACCAAAACTGACAGAGTTCGAATCTATCGAACAAATGCTCGGTATGTAATTATTCATATTGGATGTCGGATTATGTGAGACAAAAAGCTAACTTGTTCACTAGTCAATACTTCCACACGGATGGATCCGATATTGTTGGACTCCTGTGTATCGCCAAATCTCTCTCCGGCGGAGAATCTGACATCGCATCCACACACCATGTATTCAATGTACTACAGGAGAGACATCCTGACGTGGCACAAACACTATGTGAGCCAAACTGGTACTTCGACCGGAAGGGCGAGGTATCCGAAGGCGAAGAAAACTGGATTCGAGGCAGCGTGTTCTATCTCGAAAACGACAACGGCAGCTCCACACCTCGAGTCTACGCAAGACTCGATCCTAATAACGTGACATCTTTGGCGCGCTTCAACTCAGGGCCTGATGCACGCATACCCCCTTTGTCAGATAAACAGAAATACGCACTGGAGGTATTTGAAAAGACCTGCGCTGAGCTATCGCTACACATGATTCTTGCTCCAGGTGATATTCAGTTCCTGAGTAATTCGCATGTCTTCCATGCACGAACTGCCTACACGGATCATCCCGCTGGGGCTATCGATGATGACGGCCGGCCTGCCCGACGACGCCATTTGATGCGACTTTGGCTGTCGGCACCGGAATCTGAAGGAGGATGGAAGCTTCCGTACCATGATTCTTTGGAGAAGAAACGCGGAGGTATCCAGGTTAATGACACTCCTCCTGTCTGTCCCTTGGATGCGGAGTGAACGTGTATATCGTTGTACCAATTCTACTAAAACATCATGAGCATAAAATTGTACATACTATTGCAAGGCATATGACTTCAATGCTACGAAACCAAATCCGGTGTTGAAGTAATGATGAAAAAGCGCTTTGTATGGCCAGACTAAGGAGATTATGACAGGGATATAATAAATAAGAACCAGACACGACGCAGAATCTACCTCAGGATCATTCAGGTTTGCCGGGGAAATGGAAACACAGGTAACCATGGTTGTGGCTGAGTGGTGGGATATCCACCTGCCCATGGCAGTAGGCCACCTCCCTCAGTTCCTGATCCAACTGCCGTGTCTGCGGGCTGCCACGCCCACCCAAGATCAGACATGAATAAACTTTGTAGCTCCTCAAGACTAGGCTGCTCAACTTCTAACTCAGCTGTACCATTGTCTGCCCCGGTATCGCTAACAATTTCGCAAGGGGAATGATCAATATCGACGCTACTTTCGGGGAGCACACTATTAGATGCGGACGTGTTGCCCGCTTTTTCGGGGGCATGTCGCTCTGGTATAGATTTGCGTGCCATTCGGAAAATAGTGAGCGGATTGAGGACGTAATCCGGCGCACTTTGAACCGGAGGTTTCCGATGGTCGTCACTGAATTTAAAACTTAGCAAATGAAGACCGTCTCCAAAAAAACAGTCAAATATACCTCGTGTCTTCCTCCTCGGCTGACTGATACGGGTCATCGGGTATGATGTTCCGGGTGACCACCTCGGACTCAATGCCAGAACGAGCAAGCATGGTTTCTGCTGCGGATGACTGGTACACGGAACAATGAATCAGCAATCCAGGATCGGATTCAAATTGGGGGCCGTGAAAAAAGCAATGGGGACTAACAAGTGAACTGGCGATTGCATTGAGTGATCCCATTAGCTTTAGCGCGTTGATGTTGCTGCGTAGCAGAGGAATTGCAGCCAGTACCAGAGCTTTTGCATTCTGTGAACGCGGATCTAGGATGTGAGTCAAATGATATACCATGATCCGGCTGCTGTCATATGCGATGGTAGGAAGCCAGGAGTCTGACAACATTTGAGGACCATGCGCAGCCGTCTGACCAATGATGGTCGCCAAAGCCCGAGCTGAGTCAAAGAGAACTTGTTGCAGATGCCGAAGAAATTCCCCCTGTTCAGGAGGGAAGTCAAAAGCGGCTCGGAGTTTGTAAAGCGCAGGGGCCCCTAATCGATATAGGTCACAAATAGTTTGATAGTGCGTGCAATGGAGCAAACACAGGGCGCCCAACTGGGACGTGTCTTTGCGAATGTACATTGCATCGGGTGTGAATTGTAGACTTGCTGGTAGAGAATCATACCATGCCCGGCAATCTGAATCTAAATGCGAAAATTCCGACGCAGGGTCCCACGGGACCATGGCTTCACCTAAATGCTTGATATATCTTATTCAACGTTAGTCTCAAAAAAGGATAGGGAAATGGGGTGCAAATCTTGTCCTGCAAATACCTTAGAACCCTTTTCCGGATTGAGATCTGTCGAATGAAATATGCCATTATGCCCATGTTAGGCAATAGAGTCTTTGTATCTATATCTTCCGGTAGGATTTTAAGCCAACTCCCAGGATATAAAGTTTCTGTGAGGCAGGGGACTTGCTGAGTGAAGTTGCGCTCGTTGCATGGAAGTTGAATCTTGATGTCTCTTTCATCCATCAACATCAGCTGGTCTACCCCGCTGCCAACAAGCGCATCCATGATATAGCAGCTCCACATCAACCGCCGACGCGACTCTTTTGCTGTAACTGGGAGGCCGTTATCGGTATCTTGGCAGAGGATGTCGGTGTTGTATTCGAGATTGATCTGTAGCGCCTGGGTCATTCGTGTGGTGAGTCCACTTAACATGAAAGCGTTTGCAAAGTTCCCCAATCGAACCGCATAATCATGAAGCAAAACGGTCGCCTTGCTAGACTGTTAGTGACTGTACCACATCATAGAAGTAGGCTAGGTTTTCAATCAGGGTGCGCACCATTAGACTTTCAATGGTGACACGATCTATGGTCTCAAGAATGAGTCGTTGGGCAATTTTGGCCCATTGTGTGCCAGCAAGAAGGACCAATTTGGGCTCAAGTTGAGCTGTGGTCACGCTGTAAGACAGAGCATAAAACCTTCAAATAGAGATGAGCTGATCGGATTTTGTTTCCACTACCTGAGTTGGTTGGGCTTACTGGGCTCCTAATGCACATATCACATGTAAAAGAGCATTATTATGGTAATTCTTTGAAAGCTCTCCGTCCAATCGCTGTAGGAAAGAAGGTTTGTGCATAAAAGCAAAGGCGCGCAGAGGGTGGATGTTGTTAAAATACTCTTCGACTAGCATCGCGATTCTCGATGAGTTGGGGAGGTAATGAGTAGACAGCCTGCAGCTAGTGAGCACAAATGCAACAGATTGATTAATTAGCGAAAGACTGGTTAGCTCACCAGTCAAGTGGAGATAATGAACTCCCGGTGGTTTCCACCAAGGGAAAAGCCTGTTGTGATATAGGCGGTGTCTCCATTAAACTAGGCAGATTGTCCCGCCTAGACGGTGTCTGCTCAAAAGATGGTTCAGGCATGGGAGGTAAAGATGGAGAGGAGTCCTCGTTGCCTGTCGGATTCACGTTGACTCTGCGCACCCAAGTAGGCTGTGTAGACTCGGCGTAAACACATTCGGTTGAACATTTCCAACGGCATCGTTGGCATGGTCGCTCACCAGAGCATTTGGTCTTCGAAGTACGACATGCTATGCAAGAACGAAATGTCCTTTTTCCTCTCACGGAATCTTCCTGATCTACTTCACTCCTGGTTGTTTGAGACCTCAGCGGCGTGGTGTAGCCGGAACAGACTAGTCGTAATCGAGCACAGTTGCCGCATTCGCCAGGTGTTTCGTCACATTTCACCTGTGAGATTACGATTGCATACTTTAGAATACCACATCACCTGGAGGAGAGATAACTTCTCACTTTTCGGGCACGACAGGTGCGACAACCTGCATATATTAGCGGAGTGACCATTTCTGTTTAGAGCAAGACTTACCAAACCGTGATCGCGATGTCTTTTTATTCGAACCCATGCCAATGATGGAGTCAATAGTGTCATGAACATTGAGAGGACATTTCGGACCATCGGTTGGTCGGCTAATGTATGGCGGGATATGCATGTCGAATGACGAGATCCCAGAAAATGTGGGGAAGGCCTAATCCTATAAAGGTTTAGCGTCGAGGATTTGGAGGCAGACAACAAAGGTATCCAAACAGAGCAAACACAACAAACGCAGCAAACATACAATCTAAACTTAGGCCAAGACCGAAAACACGAACTTTTCTTACTTCTAACATAATCCGTACAGTTCATTATCGAGTTACTCATGTCGACATGGGCTCCAAGACAGCCGAGAATGACAACGAGGGAGGTGGTAGTAGGTTACACAGCAATAGACTTGATCCATGTAGTTGGCTGACATTTGGCAGATGCTCCTCCCAGCTCAACAAAAGCGAATGCCACTGGTGGAGAACCACGGGGAGCCCATTGGTCCCGTGATGGTGATGGCACACTTGGAGAAGGAGATGCAGACGACGATGCCGACGGCGACAATACCCCCTGCACCCCTACCTTGGTGATTACGCAAACTGCACCCTCAACAAATACGAAGAAAAAGCGCAAAAGGACTAAGAAGAAGTCTTCTGTGTTGAAACAATCTTCACCACCGCGGGTTCCTCTTGCCGATCTCTTCCCTGATCGGCAATATCCACATGGCGAATCTCAAATCTATGAGTCTGTGGTCGAAAATACGGCCCGAACAACCGCCGAGGAAGTCCGACACCAGGCCCGTCATCACATAGAAGATGACACCTTCTTGAATGACTATCGGAAGGCCGCGGAGATACACCGTCAAGTCCGACGCTGGACGCAAGAGAGCGTGCGCCCGGGCCAGACCCTCACGGAGATTGCTGTGGAAATCGAGGATGGTGTTAGAGCGTTGCTCGACAATACCGGCCTTGAGACTGGCCAAGGTCTCGTATCAGGAATGGGCTTCCCCACGGGCCTGTCACTGAACAATTGTGTTGCACACTATACGCCAAACCCAGGCCAAAAGGATGTGGTCCTCGACGCGAGCGACGTCATGAAAGTCGATTTTGGCGTTCATATAAACGGCTGGATTGTTGACAGTGCTTTCACAATGTCCTTTGATCCAACCTACGACAATCTGCTTGCTGCTGTCAAGGATGCGACCAATACCGGCATCAAGGTACCCAATCTTCGTTTTTATGCTCGACTTACCGCTAACGAGTCCTAGAATGCCGGGGTCGATGTCCGCATTAGCGATGTCAGCGCTGCCATACAGGAAGCAATGGAAAGCTACGAGGTCGACATCAATGGTCGGACGTTCCCTGTCAAGGCAGTGCGCAACATCACTGGACACAATATTGAGCAGTATCGCATTCACGCCGGAAAGTCTATACCATTTGTCAAGAACAATGACAACACTAAGATGGAACTGGGAGAGATATTTGCCATTGAGACGTTTGGGACAACTGGTCGTGGTCATCTCTTTGAAGGAGTATGCTTCATCCCCATTGTCTGCACTCGTCACATACTTACGCATTTCTTTAGACTGGGGTCTATGGTTATGGTAAAGACCCATCCGCACCAAAAAAGATCACATCCCATCTTGCCAGTGCCAAATCCTTGTATCAGAAAATCAACGAAAATTTTGGCTCACTTGTCTTCTGCCGCCGCTATCTTGAACGGCTTGGCGTCGAACGGTATCTGGCTGGTGTGAGTTCTCCTAGTTCTACCATCGAAAACGTGTGCTTACAGTGAACAGATGAATAGCCTAGTGTCCAACGGCTATGTTGAAGTCTACGAGCCCCTGATGGACGTTAAAGGATCATATTCCGCGCAGTTTGAACATGTATGTTGGCCTTGTTCATTATAGAGTAACCCGCGATGCTAACTTTTCTAGACCATTCTATTACGAGAATCAGGCAAGGAAGTGATCAGTCGTGGAGACGACTATTGAGGTCACTTCAGAGCATCACCGAAAGGTTGCTTTTTCATTATCTCGTTTCTACAGTACCCTACTTTGATCGCTATTCAACATCGCTTTCACTGAACACTCCTTTATAGCTATCTGCTCTTGTTGTTCATTCAACATGACATAGTCATGTTTGATATCAACGTTGATTGCCTCAATTCCTGAATTTCTATCCACATTCACTATTCACCGCCCTGGTTCATAATGTCACGCATTTAGACCAGTGGATATTCGTATGAAGGCAAAACCCCTGCGTTATTTACTACATGGGCCGAGGCAGAGTATGAGAATGGGTCACGGTATCCAAGAGAATGGAAACGCTCGACCCGAAATACCCTAATTCGGAACCAAGTACGGAGTACTCCCTTGGATCGCCAACAGATGCGCCAATCTAGAAACAGCTATACAATTGCAGTACAGCTTGGCAATCCCAAGGGCGTAACATTCCGGCGGATTTCCCTAATGTCAACGCGATATTCCGGTATTTGCGGGGTAACCAATCCAGGGCAAGTCTTAGGTGAAATAAGCCTAAGAAAATATCCACAAATCGTGTGCTGAGTTCAACTTGCTAACGCAGAATAGACGTGGTCTTCTGCTTGTCAAAGCTTCATAGATATCATTTCGCAGCAGAGGAAAACACAAGGTAAACTCGTCAGCAAGATGAGAAACAAAGCCGTTTCCATTTTCATTGCCTTCCTTGCCTTTTGCAGTTTATCGTTAGCATGGACCAATCCTATTCGAAAGCCGAGTGGAAGTGACCCCTTTATTGTGCATACCGGTGGATATTACTATCTTCTTACGACTACCTGGAGCGACGTTGAGATATCGCGGTCAACGACCGTGGCAGGTCTCAAGACAGCGACAAAGAAAGTAGTTTACTCTTCAATCACTTCGTCTCGATGCTGCAATGTGTGGGCCCCGGAAGTGCATTATCTTGGTGGCAAATGGTATATCTATTACACTGCCGGGGAGAGTGCCAGTCTTGATGCACAGCGCTTACACGTTTTAACGGGTACTATCTACAATTTCACCCAATCAGAAATTGGAAGCACGAATTGATGATCGTCCATTAGGCGGCACTTCCCCGTGGGACGACTACACATACACCGGACAGTTAACGAACGAATGGTCGATCGACGGCTCAGTCATTCGTTTCAACGACTATGAGAACTACTTGCTGTTTTCCTGATTCCATGGAGTGACTTACCAATCCCTATGTATTCAGAAACTAGGATCGGACTTTGTCTCTCTAACGGGGAACATTTATGTCATTTCGCAACCGACTGAATCATGGGAGAAGGTTGGAACACCCGTCAACGAGGCCCCTGCTGCACTTTATTTTTGAGGGACCACATACATATCATACTCAGCGTCCTATTGCTGGACTGCGAGTTATTGTCTTGGTCTCCTAGCCTGGGATGGCAAGACGACTCCCACTCAGGCAAGTGCCTGGACTAAGACAAATGGATGTGTGCTAGGTTCGGCGAATAGTAACTATGGAACTGGGAGCAATGGATTCTTCCAAAGTCCGGATGGTTCACAGACTTGCGTTGTGTATCATGCCACTACATCGAGCTCTGGCGCCTGCGATGATAGCAGGTATACTATGATCCAATTGCTGGGATCGCATAGCGATGGCAGTCCGAACTTTGGGGTTCCAGTTCCTTGGTCACATGCCTACAGTGAGCCGAGCTGATGTTGATGATTTGAGATGGCTAGCTATCTGAAGTAGGTAGAATGGAGCATTATTTTGTAATTAAGCACACTACTGGGTAGAAAGACAACACCTACATAGGGGATTATTCGTTCGCATTGTGCCAGTGACCTGGAAACTCCAAATAGACTGGAAATCTCTCATTATTGAGATAGCTTGGTGAATACGGAACAGCATGGGAGTTAAAGAGCAAATGACCCCTGGAAAAAGGAGCTTCAATCAATTACCTCGTAGTCTATCGAATGTTTTGTTATTGACTATAGAGGGAAAAAGGAAAGAGAGAAGGGAGCGGTCCATTAGAACGGAAGGCGCGCAAATGCTTTTATCTGCCCCCTGCGCAAGGACGAAGTCAGGATCTATCAAGGAAACATGCAAGTCGAACTCTGAGGGAAAATTAACAGATATGATAGTATCTCGTGGCCGGGTCATACTCGAGTGAGACTTCTGTCTCCATAGAGCTCAAGTCCACAACAATTTGGCGCCAGATACTGACCTCGTATGAGTCTGCCAACCCCCCCGACAAAACTAAAGCACATAGATATCGCTGATGAGTGATTCCTGTGAGTTCTGTCTTCTCTAAACAATAACTCGGGTTAACCTCATTGCCAAGAGCATCTTTCATGTTCTTTCCAACGACATTCTGAGGACACAGAATCATGACCAGTTTCTCCTGAGACGAAGACCCAGGAAAGTTCGCCGCCGCATTACAACGAACCACCATACCCGGTCGAATGCGGTCTTTGAATGTCCGCAGGTCCCCCTCAGACATCAAGTCACGGGTGGAAATACGAGTCACGGATAGCACGCTTTCCCCGGAAATAGGGACTTGCTCGATTGTATCGATTTCTCCCTTGTGCCCTACTCCGGAGGCGCGTGTGGAGTCAATATGCAGACGCCAAAGCTTAGCATGAAATGCTTTAGCTTGGCTCTCCGTCACACCCTTAGTACGGAGGCAGCGGGCGATGAATTTGTTCAACGGGATAGCTAAAAGCTGAGCGCCCGACTCGTGCGGTGCGAGAATAGAGGGTGAAATCACGGGATTGCCCGACTTTTCACATGTTAATATGACAGCCTGGTGGAGCTATGACTGACATCTGAAAAGCATAACTTACCTCTTTGGTGATATAACTTCGAATAAACTTGTTACTCCATGATTTTGGTATCGCGGGACTATGCTCCGCCGCCTGATATTTGATTTCAGTCGAACAAAGCATATGAGCATAACGAAGAGTATTTTTGGTTGCCGGTGTGTCCAAAAAGCTTGGGTTGATGCAGGCTAATACGGCAGTCTTGGAATTTCGAATACCAGACGGGTCAAACACATGCTTCAAGACCTTGGTCAATGTGCTCTGACGAAATGGAATGTACGGTCCTTTTTGACCCTTTTTCACAGTTCCGGTAGTGCTTGCTATGCCTCTTATGCAATCTTTGAGTATAGAGAGACTGATATTGATCTCACGGGTCTCTTTCAAGCGGTCAGCGCTGTGATTGGCCAGGTCCCTTGCTGCCTCTGAACCTGCGAGGTCAATCAAGTAGAGGATGCCATCTTCCGAAATTCCTGGTGATACGTTTGCGGCTCTAATACGGCAAATTGCGTGAGAACGTGACGATCCGTCGTTTTTCTCTGTACCGGCAGTTTGTCGAAATGATGTGGCGTTTTCAATCAGTTCTAAAAATTCAGACTTGCTCTTGATTGATAGTTCCTGGGCCCCAACAAGCTGTGTATTGCCAAACGAATCTTCGAGGATCGAGAACGGTGCACGTGAGGCTAAAAGGTCTGATCGCGAATGAAGGTCAGCATAATGTACTACATGAATTTCATGCCATTGACATTGTGCTCCCTTTTCTTCTGGAATGCGAAAGGGTATGCAAGTAGGAAATTCGAGTCGCCTTATAGATTACTTACCATATGCAGAGTTCCCGGCAAGCTCGAACATGGAAACATATAGCTTCCGCTGAGTCGTCCAAGCCCCATCAAACAAAGTCTCGGCGAGCAGTCGTTCCAACCCGCTGATAGTATGGGTTTTGCCCGAGCCTGTTTGTCCAAAGGCAAACAGTGTACCTACGCCTCCTTCCCATACTGACGGGAGAAGTGGTTGAAGCAGATTTGTATAAAGTGTCTTTGTAGGGCAATCGGCACCGAACACATTACCAACTCGGAATGCAGATGACTAGGAAGATGTGATTAGGTTTAGTGTTCCTCTTTTCCCTTGTCCTTTCAGGGGTCTGAAGCCGAACTGTGTCCACTAACATTTAAGGTAGGTTGGCCTCTGATCACTCTCTTCAATTCATGAAGATCCACTACTCCACTTTCGCTGCGAGGGAAAATAGCGGGGACCTGACCGGATAATATCTCGTGATCCAATATAGGCCGTATCCGGATGGCCACAACAATGTTCGAGCAGTCGGCCACGTCTTTATTCTCAGTTGTGGTCGGTCGCTGTGGTTGAAAACGCTGCACCAGAGACTGATATCGTGATACGTTTGCTAAGAGATATTGCTCCATGGTCCTCGGCAAGCAATCTCTGGTGTAGTACGAGAGGAAAGAAAAGCAGCGAATCCGTAGGTAGGCAAGGGTACATAAACAAGAGACACAAAGAATGAACTTCTCCTGAGCCAATTTGCACTGTTTCAAAAGAGCGGTGAACAAGCTCAGTTTGTAGGAATCCATGGACGTGTCTCATGTCCAAGGCACCCGTTATCTGGCTATCTTCATCCCAAGTGTCTCAAGTGCCTTAACCAAGTACAGTACACAAAGCCAGGTACGACATGGTGTCATCCATCTCTTAGCTCACTATCCGTCCCCGCAGAACGATCGAAAAGCCACCCGTATTATCAACCCCAAGACAAAAGAACCGAGCCACCATTCAGGCTGGTATCTGCACCACCACAGCACTATCAACTACTCCAAAAGCATAGCTTGAACTATCACCCGCCGTTAAAGGAATATCGATAGCAGCTCCTCGCATCAATAGGCGTGCAACCCTTCGAACCACGACCGCCTTTCGAGGTATTGCCCTGGTCGCGGTGGGACTTGCTTGGGTAGCATCAGGTGAAAGTGTAGCTGGACTGCAGATCGAAGACGCTATTGGATAGGAGGAGACAGGCCCGGCTAGTACGAGGGGACCCAAGGCGACGGTCAACCGTGTGACACCATTCGCCAGGTATCTATAACCGGAGGCTCTGAATCCAGCCACAATTTGAATATATCACCGTAGATGTCGACATCATGATCGGTAGAAGTGAAGGTAATGCTATCTTCAGTTCGCTTGGACTCGCTGAGGTCGGGGTTGATCTTTTGAAGGGCTTCGGTGACGAAGGTGATGCATTGCTCGGGAGCGGGGCTCTGTGGAAATTGCAGATAGATGACGGTCATGATTAGTAAAATCGGTCGACGGTCTTCAAGTCGTTATAGCTTTCTGATAGTTGAGGCTCGCTTTCGAAGTCGGAGGTAATCGGCTTGGCAGAAGGATTGCTGGTTCTGACGAGTCTGGCGGACAGGGAGATACCTATGTATTAATCTAGAGGTAGCCAGCTTTGTATGGGATCGGAAATAAAAAAAACTCCGGTGGCCACCTAGGCAGGCAGATTCTAGTCCAGATATAACCGGTTTTCGTTAACAAATCGGATATCAGAAACTGAGTCAGACCAAGGTGACATCCATAAAACCCATTGAATAGGAGTCGGACGGCGCTGAGAAACTGGAAGTCGGCATGTGCGCTCTCCACGTATATCTGTCGCAATCTCTAGGCTCCAGCATTCACAAAAGTCCCTTTGTGCCGACACATTTACCCTTGAATTTTGATTGCCTGCATAACCATGCATGAACGGCAATTTCTGACAGCGCTTGATGCAAGCCTTGGGAGCTTGGCCGCTAAATGCCGACTGTAGTTTTAATTAGACCTCCGCAAAGCCCATTTAGGGGGTTCAACTAGCATCTTGTAATCGTTGTATTCTGACCCTTCTACTAGTTAGTTATGATAGATAGTTATATATTTGGGATTTATACGAGAGTCTAGCACTTTATACGTGAACTTCTATAATTTAAGACTTATCTAAAGAACGCGTTTTTTCGCGTGTTTAAACGTAATATATAAATTTAACTAGTCATTAATAACGTATTAATTAAAATAAAAAAACTTTACCCTAATCTAAGGGCTAAAAACGGGGTCTGAACACAAGGTAAATAAAAAAGTCACGTTTCTTAGAATGTTTGTATTGTTTAGTGCTTATTATGGGATTTGGGCCCCAATCGTGGGCCCGGTGGGCCCGAGGATAGGCCCAAAGCCCAACCATTTAGTGGGTTGGGTTGGGTTAGGCCTTGGGCTTTATGAGCTTTGCGGAGGTCTAGTCTTAATATTCGTCGCTAAACCTTGGACCTCTGTCCACACGTCTACCGGGTATCTTGATTGGTTTTTCCCTGACATAAGAGCATGTTCCAAGGAAGGTTGCTTTGTCGCAATGGCCCCTAGGCCCAGTTATTGTTGGATGTTGAATCCACGCAGTTAAAGACAACGGACGTTTGATCGCCGCGGAGATGATGTGTGACTCGAATTCAGTATACGAACCAGACGTGGTGGTAACTATAGGAGAAGGATTCTCTGCGGAAGTTTCCGTTAGTCAACCCAGGCTGCGAACAGGAATGTAGCATTGGACGGTCTCCTAGCGCTCTTCATCGGGCGTTCATACAGGTATTAAGATGCCGCCATGATGTTATTCATCGGTCAATATTTTTAGTGAACCCAGTCTAACTTATCGCTTCTATGGTAATTGTTTATCGAATAATTTGCATGTATGGGTGTCCGCAACGTATCTCATAAAGCCCCTACCAAGGTCGTGGTGAGGCCGACTGGACAAAGCTTGAATGAACAGCAATCGAGTTATTGTGACCAATATCCTCGACGGAGTCATTTGAAGCATGAATGCCTCCATTGGGACCGACAGTGACGTAGTTCGTTAATCCGATTTCATCGTCGTTTGCCCTCTTCTTCATTTTATCAAACCCATAGTCAAATGTTGGTCCATGGTTGTTGAACTTATTCCCCCTTTGGAGACCCTGCCCGGAACCACTTTGTCCTCCCGGTGTTTCCGAAGAAATACCAGTGGCCCGTTGTGAATTCAAACTGGATAAGATTGAGCGATGGGCGAGTCGAGCAAGCGGTGCAAGATGCGGCAAACAGGCACAAACTACAGCAACTGATGGCTCGATGGTTGACCAGATGAATACAGGTCCCATCAGCCAAGTGACATCGGCAGCCTTCATAAACTCCGAGAGAAAATGGATTCGCACGATGCTGGCAACACACACACTGTGATAAATACAGTTCAGCTCTGGTCATAGAATGAAGTTTAGAAAGAAAAAGGGAGGAGACGTACAATATTCCCACTGCCATAATGCCACAGATTGCTAGTTTCTTCCGCAGGGTCATTTGGAGCTGGGAGATTCGCGGAAAAGGGATTATCAGAATGATGAAGTCATTCAGCATGTTAAGAATGCCTAATGCGAGAAAGAATTGGTTGACGTTGATGCATTTCCCCTTCGTGTCGCTGAATTGAGTCCAAAAGTGGGACACTGGTTGACAAGCATTTCCCATGGTTACCCAAATAATGATAGGATACGATATTGTGAAGAACAAGCCACAAATGAGCGCCACTTTCAACGACTGTTCCAATGGGGAAAAGACTCGCCTATAGAAAGCAAGTATCGAGAGTCTGGTACAAGTGCATGCCGCGGCATAAATAAATGTGTAGGAGAATAGGAGCTAAATATGGTCGGGTTAGAAGAATGTACCGTGCTTTTAGAGGGAGTTCTCTTACTCTGTACAGGTTCATCAATTCCTCCAGCTTGACAGCCCAGATATGTCTTCCAGAACCAGTAGTGCCGCCTAGATTGGTTGCTGCGTTAAATACTGCTGTTTTTTTCTGGGATTGCAGTTCTCACCTGCGACACTTAATGCAGTCGTGCCAGATATACAAATCTTTGCGCATATATAGTCAGTAAATGTGAACCCAACTGGCTAATGATGAACTCACCAATGCGGCAATAATTGCCCAGTCATCCGCCATCAAGGCATTTCGAAGTACAATTCGAGCAATAAAACGTAGAATCACAAACACTGCCGCCAGACAGAGCATTGCAATGACCACGCCATTATTCACTGATACATCACTGGCAGTGAGGTCGACATTCGACGGGGCCGGCCCGAAGAGAGCGAGAATGGCCGGGTCCGCATTCATATCAATATGTGCGTACTTGATGGGAGAAATGTCACAACATCGAACTAAATCAGATAATGCCTGTCGCAAATTCTCCCATGGGCCAAGGAATCAAATCATATGGCCCCTGAAACTGCAACGTAAGTACGTTGCAGAGAAACACTTACCACATGAAGATAGTGCCCAGACAATGAAACCAAATTGCCTTAGTTCACAAACTAATGTCATGACAGGTGATCGGCCTTGGCCAAAAAAGCAGAACAATCGCCGATCCCCACCAAAGAAACGCGCTCTCAGTCAAGAAGCGGCCTTATTCCGGATGGATCGCCGGAGATTATCCTCATCCAGTGTGCATCAAGCGGGCCGTTGTAGCCTTATTAGGATGGCTTAGGCCATTGAACGCTAGAGTCAAAGCCTGCGGCGCTAGTTTATCTAGCGATTCCAAGATTTACCAATGCTAACACAATTTATGAAGACCGAGACTACCTGATAATTGAGTATATTATTTAAGTATTTATGTGATCCAATGGTTCAAACGAAATTGATTACATCGGTACAATAGTTCATATAATTTATCACAATGTTGTTCTTCGCGCTATATTTTTGTCAAATTGCGATGTCCGTCCCGCATGGCGCTAGCAAGCATCTTCATCCTTCAACAAGGACTCGGGACAATGGTCATGGAATCCGTCTGGCCAATAAAAAGATCTCATGGACAACATTCATCGCAAAAGTACTAGTTTCTACTCCATATTCCGCTCAAAGGCCGTACAATCGTACATTCCAAGTTGGACAAATATCCAAGCAGAGGCTCTATTCAATTCCCGATATACCCGCCCTTCACCCCTCTAACTAATCACTACATCTCCTTTTGCGAATCCCCTTTTTCCGAATACTACAAACCAATTCATGCAACATGGGCTCTATTGTGAATGATCAAAGGATTCGTGAGCTCACAGCATTGGAGCGTATCGGGCCGAAGGGCTATCTTCGTTATATCTTCCCCTTTCAGCTGCAAGAGGACTATGACTTGGAAGAAGTTATTGGTGTTCTTCAGGCCGGGTACCAAGCTCTCATACAAAGAATCCCAGAGGTCGGGTGCGAGGCTGTTCCCGATGACAATTTGAAACAACGGGGTGTTATGAAGCTTCAAAAGCAGGCCAATGACGAGGTAGGGCGCATCGCAGTCAAGGATCTGCGTGAGTCCTATGAATGCGACTACGCGGAGTTGAAAGATAAATCTTTCCCGGTTGTCTCCTTCGACGCCGACACGTTCTGTGCCCGTTCTGTTTGGCCTTCAGCTGGAGACCGACTGCCAATTTCACTTGTGCAGGCCAATTTCATCCGCGGAGGATTGATCTTGTCATGGTGCATCTTCCATATGGTGGGCGACGGTACGACATTCTATACTTGGACAAACATCTGGGCACAGGAGTGTCGGCGGGCACAGGGACTGGAGATCCTGGATCCCATCCAGCTTCCAGAGGCCATTTGGAAAGACCGCGCACAAGTCACGAAGTCGTCCGGCCGCAATGCTGGAAAAATCGAAGACCATCCAGAGTATACCCTTCTTCCTTTCACGCCCTCGGGAGCCCCGCCCAAGATGGCTTCCCTGAGCCATCGCGGTCAGGTTTTCTATTTTTCGCCGGAATCCTTAGCAGCGCTTAAGGCAGAAGCGTCCCCAACCAATGCGACCGAGCCCTCTGATCAAAAATGGATCTCAACCAATGATGCTCTTGCGGCGCTACTCTGGCGTACAGTGATGGCAGTACAGTCGCCGCTAGAGACTCTCGAGGGAGACCCTATGTCTGTTTACAACATTGCGATTGACGGGCGGCAACGGACAGATCCCAAGTTGCATCCAGAGACCTTAGGATGTTTCCTGGAGTATGTTTCAGTCTCGGTGCCCGTCCGCAAAATGCTTAGTACGCTGAGTTTGGCCGATCTGGCGACGAAGATCCGCAAGGCACTTACTGGGGCCGACGAGCAGTTCACGGATGACGTGGTGACTCTTGTAGAGCAGCTTGAAGACGTGGATCGGCTTGCACCCACCGCATTTCTGGATGTTCCCGGCTTCAACTGTGTGCTAACCTCATGGGTGAACTTCACACTGTACGGGTTGGAGTGGGGACCATTGCTGGGCAACAATATCGAGGCTGTACGAGTGCCCCATATTGGCTGCATTAACGGCTGTCAAGTCGTGCTCCCAGTGTTGCCGAATGGTGGTATGGAGATTCTGGTCGGCGTGGAAGACAGTTCCTTGGACCGACTGCTGAATGACCCCTTATTCACGAAATATGGTGTCGCTCGGTAGAGTTTTCATGAAGAGTAATTCGGCAGCCTGTTGTAAATATACCACACGATATCCTTATGGACATATCCTTGACTCACTCCTAGCTTTATTTCCTTCTTTTCCGCAATCAACTCTCGAGAGCCAAACAACTCACCTTAGGATTGCCCTTGTGCTTAGAGGTAGGCCGAGGCTTTGTTGGTCGGCAGCTTTCCGAAAATATAGCGAATGCGACGAGGATCAACCCGATGGTTCTTTGTATGGATGTTATATATTTGTTCCACGCCTCGGGGTTCTGTGTATCAGGTTCGAGGTCGGGTCGTGACTTGATGTTTGATGACACGACAAGGGGAGGGTTTGCGAGTATCGCCATGAGCTCGTGAGCCTAACTATGGGATAAGATATGTGATGTATGTCAAATGGGTGATAGTACGCTTTGTGCATGGTCATATCGTCGATGCGACGATCTCAGTCCTGTCCTGTCCCGGGGCGATGATTAGCAAACATTTCTGCCCAGGTGCCTCGGACTCTGTGTCCTCTTGCGTGCGTGCTGAGAAGCCGTCACGTCGGCCAAATGAAGGTGTCGATGAGGAAGGACATGGTACTTTTTCTAAAAAGGACATCCTCTTCCTTTGGCGTAGACAGAAAGACAAGAACGACGAGACAAAATCCTTGGGAAGGAGCAAACAGGTCTAAACCTGAGGTTCTCACCGATATATATTCCTAGACCCCGAGGCTTTTTCTGGGATACCAGGCATCTTCATGCATTAAACTCATCTGACGCTTTTCAAATACCCAACAGACATCTAGTTGCTACTGGTTTTACATGGCAATGAATAAAGTCAAACATAATAATTTGAAACTTCACTAATAATAAATGTTGGCTTACTTCTTCTCCCCAGGACCCTTTCCTCTTCTCACAAACTCTCTTAGCACATTGTCAGTCAATGTAGCTACCTCGTTACTATAATCATCCCAGCCCATACTGCAGAACCAGTTGATACTGCCAACGGAGAATACCGCGCCACCACCTGAGGTGTCATAATATACCAGGTCACTTCTGACCATATCACAAGTGGTACCGAGAGTGTTCACCATGGGGAACATGGAGTCTTCATTAAAAAGTCCAAAGGAGTCATCATGCTGGAGACTTCTTCCCAGCAAGACCGCATTGGATGGTGTTCCAAGCGCATAATCCAGGCGATCGATCTCGTCACCACTGGCGCCGCCACCGAAACCCTTCTCGCCAATCGGCTTTGTGGCGTCAATGCCCTTGAAAATCCAGCTGTATTTCTCATCTTGGGCATATTTCAAATCTGCTGTATAAGCCTTTCCTGGTCCGGTACCGAACGCACAAGGTCCAATACCCCAGAGGTAGTTGGGAGCACGACCACGGCTGCGCCATAAACCACCAAGGGTTCCAGTGAGACTGTGCATGCGTTCTCCAGCGGGGAAAGTGACGGACCGACAGCCCTGATCACCCTTGCGAACTTCCATGCGGTGAGACCGCTCATTGACAACATCGGCGACCCAGTAGAATCCGTTGCCGCCCAAGTACATCATGTTGCCGCCCGATTTGGCAAATGAGCTCAAGGTGTCGAGAGAAGCGAGAGTGTGGTATTCAGGGTGACAGCCAGTGATGAGTGTGGTGTATTGCGCGGTTGATTCTTGACCTCTGCTGCTCAAGCAATGATCGGTGATAATGTCATATGGGATTCCGGAACGCTCTAAGTATCCGACCATGAGAAGATCAGCGCTGAACTCGCGAGGTCGGTCCAGGGCCCAGTGCACAAATCCGGGTCGGAGATTGAGAATCGGTCGGAGAGCCGTGGAGTATGCATTGGGGGAGCCATCCGTGTGAACATCATAAGCCGAGAGGCCCAAATCTGGTCGTCGGGACAGTCTTTCATAATACTCATTTCCCGGCCCGATGCTAACTCCATCTGGGGTTGTCATCGCCGACGACTTGGTCTCGTCATACATTCGCTCATTAGCATACGCGAGGTATGTGAATGTTGTGAGAACCAACGCCACCTTGGCCGTGGAACTGGGGTTCGGTCGGACAAAGAATGTGATCATGTCGCTTGTGCCGTCCGCGGTCTTGACTTCAACAGCATATGCACCGGAGCGAGCGCTTGATGGGATAGTGATGGTGAAGTTTGTTGACCATTTGGCATCATCCAAGTCATCCTCGTGGAAGTGAATAGCTCCATACCCGTATGAAGCTTTGGTCCAGTCTGGCTGAGTGCCGTCCCAGTTATACCCCTTGACGGCTCGTGTGGGTGCATTAATCAACACACCGTGGCGGTCATTTCCAGACACATCAACGATCGAGTCGCTAGAGATATCTTTGGAGAAGTCATACTGCGCGACAGTGCGGCGTGATGAGCCCGTGAAGGTGAAGGAAGGAGAATCGATTCGACCATTGTAATAGTTTGATGACTTAGAGCTCTGCTGATCGATGTCCTTGAACATGCCTGCACCAAACAGCAACGAGTTCGACCCCAACACCATGGGTGCGGACAGGTCGGTACTCATCTTTTCGCCATTGGGGGCAGTCTCAGCGAGACGGTTCAATTGGTGAATGCTCGAAGTGAAGGTGTTGTCAACGACACTCAGGCTGATTTTGAGCCATCTCCAGCGATTCACGAGGAGTTGGCTCTCGACGACCTGAATTTTATTTCCTGTGCCGATGAAGAACTGAAGCTTCGAGTTTTTCAAAACGACAGCGAATCCAGTTCGAGAAGAGACGTCGAGACAAGATACAAGGGTTTGGCAGAAGTAGCCGACATCAAGCAAGTATGGTTGAGCATGGAACTCTACTTCGAAGCCCTCTCCCGCTGCAGGTGCCACGTCCGCCCAGGATGGGACAAGAGCATAGGAACCTGCGCAAGCATCTTGGAAACAACCATCCTCATGGTGGCCAGCGGGGACCTCAGTGATATCTTCTATCACAACGGGGGAGCATGAGCACCGCTAAACCCCTGTACAAGACGTACTAAACGGTGATCATATCCCTTTTCGGTACTCGAGACCTAAAACGGGTTAGCGTATGAAAAGTACCGAGGTAGAGATAGTCCGGGGAATCTCGTGGACCCATGGATGTAGATAACTTACTTTGATGTCAACCGGGTCTCCAGGGGAAACAATCCAAGGTTGAGCATAACCAATAATTTGAGTGTCAGACATTCCTGTAACGCCGGTTAATTCAAGATTCCTTAGTCTTGGCCATCCGTTAGTCCGGAATGTTAGCGCTTACTGGGAAAGGCAAAAGAGGGGTTAGATCGTTCCTGGTCAGATCAGAGAGAGACCTGAGAGTTCTGCCCATATTTAGTACAGGAAACTAAGCTTTAAAGGCTCTATTGTTCAAGCCAGGATAGATACTCACCCGAATTCCAGAATTGGTAACTGAACAATTTGCTACATTCGGAATGAGAGCAGAGATGTGCCACTTATCTATCCTCAATCTGCCACTTCAGTAAATGAACCGATTGGCTTAGAGACATAGAGTATGCGTGTGACAATTGTAGCTTCCTCCCGATATCCGATCGGCTGATCCCAAATAGGAGATGGTTTGACAGGGGTTGTTAAGCTCTCCCGGCTGGCTTTTCCCCAAGCTCGCATCTTAAACGCGTGTTGCACCACTTCATCTAACCCGGTCGGAAAGCAGATCTAGCCCACCAATCGCTTGCCGGGGGATTTGGAGCTATTTGTCCTTCTTATCCATTGGCGTCGACTAAATCCGCCTATCACCTCGCTTGGGGTCTTATCACTCGGTGTTACGCTACATTCAAGCTAATTTATCTTTGTATTTTGTATCTTCATTTTTACCCCTAAGCTATCTGATAAACTTAATTAAAATGCAGTTCAAATAATAATATAGCCAATCGAATGCCAAACATCACCCGAGATATCTTATCTCCAATATGAAGTAATTGAAGTGGGAAAACCTTGCCGGAGAAAGGGGTGTAACCTTAGTGTAATATATGAGGTTGGGGGCGGGAATTTCCGACTCTCGACGCTACGATACCAGCCATCATGGAGTTCGAGATTACAACATTACCACCTTCGGTAGGAGAGACCAAGGTATTATACGCTAAGTACCCGGTCCCACTCTGGGGAAACAAGATTACGGTTTACCCCAGACTATAGATACGCGATCGGCAATCAATGACGAAGTGATTGGTTGGTTAATTAAATCTCCTTGGATTGTGTTATCTGAGAGAGCTCCTTGTCGTTTTCTGGGGAACTTTATATAAGATCCTGGCATGATCTCCTAGAATAGTTTCCCATCTTGCTCATTCAAGACTTCTCTCTCCTTCATATTGCCTAGAGAAGAGGTTCGCTCATCATGGACAAAGACAATCATGATATTGAAGCCGTGGCGGACTCCAAGTCTGCACATGTAAAGGCTGCTTCGGAAACGTCAACTCCGGGGATGATGGAAGAAGGCGAAATCGTCACTCTCACAAATGAAGACGTACGTCTATCTCGATACTCTCTGGCAAAAGAAACCTAGCTAATCGTTGTCTGTTTAGAACATTCGCATTCGGAAAAAGACCGATAAAACGATTCTAGCAATCCTTACTTGGGTATACTTCTTGCAGGTGAGACAAATTAATCAACCATCCATTCTATACGATGCTGATGACCCGCCTATTAGGTCTTGGACAAGGGTGTTCTGGGAACTGCTTCCATTTTCAATCTCCAGGAGGACACGGGTCTCGTTGGAAGTCAATATTCTCTGGTTTCTTCCATTGCCCCTATTGCACAGGTGGCATGGCAGCCATTCTCGGCATGGCTCATTGTCAAGGTCCCTCCCCGTATTCTGATGCCTTCCATGGTTCTCTGCTGGGGAGTTGCAGCAGCCAGTACCGCTGCGTGCAACAGCTTTGCGGGCTTGGTCACCGTCCGTTTCTTCCTCGGTCTCTTTGAAGCCGGATGCTTGCCTCTCTTCACCATCCTCACTGGCCAATGGTATCGTCGGGTCGAACAGCCACTCCGTGTTTCCATTTGGAACTCCATGAACGGTACAGCCACTATGGTGGCTTCTGCTTTGTCCTATGGACTCGGCCATATCCCCTCAGATGTGCTGAAGCCATGGCAAATGTAAGTCCCTAGAAATCATTGTATTGAATGTCGCTAATTATGTCGCAGTATCTTCCTTGTTGTTGGATTGGTTACTATTATCAGCGCACCCTTTGTTTACTGGAAACTCGACAACGACATCACCACCGCCCGCTTCCTCACTGAACACGAACGACGACAGGGCGTGGAACGTCTCCGCGCAAATCAGACCGGCTCTGCGTCTTACGACTTTGACTGGTCCCAGGTTATCGAAGTTGTTCTGGACCTCAAGAGTTGGCTTTGGATTATCATGGCCCTATTGCCAAACATGGGATCGGCGATGACGAGCACTTTCGGTCCTCTTATTGTCAAAGGTTTCGGATTTGACGCATACGAAACTTCCCTGCTCAACATCCCCTTCGGTGCTATGCAGACGATCGTCATTGTCGGCGGTTGCTGGGCCTCGTACAAGTTGAAGCTGAAGTCCGCCATTCTGATCGGTTTCATGATCCCTGTTGTGACGGGTATCGCAATCCTTTACGCCCTCCCCCACGAAGAATCAAAGCAGGGTCCTCTTCTCCTGGCCTACTATCTTTGTGCCTTCTTGTTTGCCGCCAATCCCCTGCTTCTCTCATGGGTCGTCGCAAACACTGCTGGTGCCGCCAAGACGTCCGTCACAATGGCTCTTTACCAGGCTGGTACCTCCGCTGGTGCCCTCTCCGGCCCGCTTCTGTTCACCGCAGAGCAAGCTCCAACATATCTTCCCGGTATCCGGGCTGTTCTCGGACTCTTCATTGCTTTGGTTGGCTGTGTGGTCCTCCAGGTTCTCAATCTAGCCTGGTTGAACAGAATGAACAAGAAGAAGAGAGTCAGCAATGGAAAGATGGCGGATGTCCAAGATAAATCCATGACTCATGGGTTTGAGACTGACGGAAAGGTTCAGGGCCCACCTCCAACGGAAGCAGCACCATTCGTGGACTTGACTGACCGAAAGAATGATGACTTTGTGTATGTTTATTAAGCGGAAGACTTGGAAGTCCTGCCATGGAAGCAGTGCATGTTTCTGTGTTCTTGCATCATTGAAGATGTAAAACTAGTCTGTGAATTGCGATTTTTGGACATAATATATATCCCAAGTTTAGATACTTTGCTATTGACAAATACTTTCTCCCGTTACTCACAAAAGACGATATACAAACTAGGTATACCATTATTAAAGATTTCGATATAGCCCTTTACAATGCCTGTTCATAACCTTTGAATGTTCGAATCCCGTCATGTGTCACATGATCTTACCCCATAGTGGACTTGTACAGTCTTACTTCCTCCCTTCTCCATAGTTCTACGGCTTTCCAATATATACCTAGTCCTTCATTATGCTCACGGTCTTTACTGGCCAGTAGTCCATCCAAACAAGTAAAATCTAACGTCATATCAAATCACTTGCGCTATGAAACTTTTCACCATGCTAAAATCATTTCCTCGATCTCAACTAAGCAGCTCGAAAACATATGAATGGACACCCGTGAATGCATGGATCAAGAACTAGTGAACGAGCACGTTTGAAGTACGCAATATATATATGGGCAAACATCGGCATGTGGGATTCGCGGGTTGCTTAGTTCAAAGTATTTTCCTAAACCTAGAACTAAGTGGCAATGGAGCTTGAAATTACGAGTATGCAGAAATATTGATAATTGGAATTTTTATTTTGAGATAATCTATAGAACTATGATGCATGAATCATGAAATCGGAGAGAGGCAAAGCAGGCATGGAAATGTCTCGAGGACCAAGGCAAGAACCACATGCTTCACAAGAGGCAGATTATGCGAAAATAAATCGCTTAGAAGTGGCCCTCAATCTCGATGGGGGTGTATACCTCCTCAAGGTACTTCTCCTCCTCAGCGGTAAGCTCCTTACCGCGTGCGGACAAAGCATCCTCAATTCTCGCGACGCTGCTGAATCCGATGATAGGACTAGCCACGCGCTTCAATTGCCAGGCCAGTGTAACTTGAGACATAGTCCATCCCTTGCGCTTTGCGAGCTCTTCAACTCTGTTGATAATTTCCTGGGATTCAGGGCGCAAGCTGGCAACAGTCTCACCGGTAGATCTGGCAGTGGTTCCGCGGACGTTCAGGGGACGAGCAAGCTGTCCTTCTGCGAGGGGGCCCCACTGATAAGAAAGAAAACAGTCAGTCACACGAATTGTAAATAAAAGAGTTAGTAGGTATCTTACAGGGACAACAGCAACACCAGTGAGGTTGCAGTATCTGATCATCTCACGCTCTTCCTCACGGTACAGGAGGTTGTAACGGTTCTTTTTCATAGTTAGCACTCCGCGAAGTCTAGTTGGGGATTCGACTAGTACGCACCTGCATGGCAATGAACTTGGTCAATCCCATCTTCTCGGCGTATGCCTGCATCATGACAAACTGGTAGGTGAACATGGAGGAGGCTCCGAGGTAACGGATCTTTCCAGCAATGACAAGGTCGTGAAGAGCGTGCATGGTCTCCTCAATGGGGGTATCGGCGTCGAAGCGGTGGATCCAGAAGACATCAATGTAGTCAGTCTCGAGACGCTTGAGGGAATCATCGAGAGCCTTAAAGATGGCCGACCGGGAGAGACCTTAAAACCACAGTTAGTAAGTCTGCCTACTTCACAGATGTAGTTGTCATAAGCTCACCAAACTGGTTCACGTAATCCTTAGTCTTCTTCAGATCCTCAATGATGGGGTATGCGTGGAACTGTTGCTCTCCAACGCAGCTGTAGGCCTTGGTCATCAGCACCAACTTGTGGCGGGGGATCTGGTATTCCTTGATGGCCTGGGCAATAACTCGCTCGGAGTCGCCATTGGAGTAAATGTTGGCAGTATCCCACTGGATACAGTTAGCTTTCGGTTTCTAACCAAGTGAGATGGGAGTACAAACAGTGTTAACACCACGATCATAAGCGGCTTTGAGCAGTGGGAGGGCCTTGTCGGCACCAATGACCCAGTTGGCCCATTCAGGGTTTCCAATGCTCATACATCCGACAATGGGAACAGAGACACGGAGGCCACTGTTACCAAGACGTCTATAATCGACCTTGGTCTCGGCCATAGACTTGGCGACTCCTTCGGGAAGGTTTGACATGGTGATTTTTAAAGGGTTGAGGATTGAACGGTTTTCTAGTTTAACTTGCTATAGTCTCAGGTTCGTCCTATCGTGCCTTTTATAATTCCTAATACCATCTCTTTAACATACATCTATACTACATTGCAGCGCAGAATCCGATGGTCGGGTCGGTTATGGTGGGGGAGGGGGAGAATGAAGTGGAGGTTGGGGGAGAGGGTAAGGGCCGATTGGGGACCGATTGGGGGCCGATAAAACCGAGCCGATGTCGGTTGCCTATTTAAGAACAGCCGCTCGCCTACCCAAAAAGGAAATTACTTGTTATCTCAAATAGGCAGGCGGATAGGGGGATTTCTGTTTTGGGGAAAGACGCGGGGTACCGTTTTAGCTGTATGTTATATCGACTATTATGTAAGGACTATAGAATATATACACGTGGTCTAATCTATAATATACAACGTGCAGTAGTATATCACTAGTGTTATTTAGTATCTACTAGGTCGAAATTAGTACCCAACTCTACCTGATGAACCTATCCGTCAAATATTTCAGATAGCTTGATAAAATAATAAACTAATAAAAAAGAAACTATACCTTCACCTCCCAAGCTTTGATATGTCCCCCCGCAAAACCCTATCTAGGAACTATGTACTCCGTTATCTAACCACTAGTAATTCTATATTCCGTGACTCAGTTGCGTTTACAATTCTACATACCTTTTTATGTTACAGCAGTTTAGAAATGTTATGGTAGTATCACATTAAATACAACATCTCCATAGGGATCGACCTAGCGTCTTAATAGTATTCATAGAACTATTCAACAACGCTTGGCGTGCGGGGGCCTGTATCGTTGAATTGATTGGATAGACCAATAATAACAATAGGCGGGGTTTGGTATGGCATGGTTGGATACTTTTGTCATTGCTATCGGAGTGGAAAGCCTGTGATAGTCACGTCTGGTCTTTGGCGTCTTTTTTTCCCCTCCCCTTCTTCATAGCCTCACCGGAAAAAAAAAAGCCAAGAATAATGAGTGGCCTACCTCCCATCTCTCGTGAAGAGAGTCATCGTCGCCCATATGGTCCTCGGTCGCGAAACGGTTGTCTGACGTGTAAACGTCGCAAGGTTCGATGCAATGAACGCAGACCTCGATGCTATCATTGCCAGAGACTGAACCTGGAATGCGATTGGAAAGCCAACGAGCCCCGACAGACCCCCTTACAGAATGACGCCGATCCTTTCAAGTCAAACGTCACTTTGGAGGTGAACCAGCTATCGCCGGGTCCTCACATGTTTGACTTTCAATCCATGACAGCCTCCACAGAGGGCTTTTCCATGTTCCAGAATGTCTATTTCCCCGACTTTGGTGATTTTACCACCTTGGGAAACACTTCCTATGAGCAGGCGCGATCTAGCGACGCAGATTCCCCGAATTCGTCTAAACTTCAACGACAGTCACCGCAACAATCCCCCACCGCCAATCCCGATGTCGAAAACCCGCTACATTTACACTTGCCACCGATTCTTGATCCGGTGGAGAATGGCCCGAGATGCGCTTCTGCGAGGGAACTGCTTGAAAGCATGGCGGCCTCTTCACCGATGCTCCGCTCCTCGATCGCGGCATTCGAAGCCATCCAGTCCGGAAGTGCGGGGGCGATAGCGGATTACCAACAACACTACGACAACGCCGCGACGGAGTTGTCGCAAAAGTTTGGAAAATCCGCAGGGGAAATTATAATCAGCAATAATGAGCTCAGATACGTTCTGGCCACGATCTTTTTTCTTACATACATAAATGTTAGTTCATTTAACCAGCTCGTTTATTGTTAGCTTTGACTGACTCGGTACCCAGTTCCTGACTGCACGACTGGATCTAGCCTATTTGAATCTCGGGAAAGCGCATAATGCCCTGCAAGCATCCGAGAGGGGTGCATTAGGCTCCACGGGTATGTAGAATAAATCGCTAGCTCAATGCTCCACTTACTAACGAACGGCGTATCAGAGCTCCGAATCATCTCTTGGATTCGTTTGTTAGACGCCCGAGCGGCGTCGGCCGGTGGGGAAGGAGTCTTGGTCAATGACACGTCGGGAATCTATACATGTACCTCGCCCCAAAATTCAGCCTCCCCGAGCTCAACCCCGCAAAGCATGAGCTCCACCACCAATCCCGGAGCACACGAAGTGATTTATGATCTGCTCTGCCAGCCGGGGATAGCGTTCTTCATGGAAGTCCAGACTATCACCGGCCGCATCACCAGAATCGCTCATAATCACCGCAGCCGAGGGAGTGTAGAGGACGAGACTGAGGTGATGGCTATTGCCGCAGATATTCTGTCAGACTTGTCGTCCTTGTATGACCGGAGACCGCCGCTCACAGATCATGCCGTGGCTGGAAGTATTGGTAATGATACGCTGGCCGAGCCACTCGCGTCCACTATTGTTCGCTCATTCCAGACGTACATGGCTAACTTTTACGCCTGTTACATTCACCTGCATCGAGTCGCACACCGTCATTTGGTTCGTTCCAAAGCAGCGGTGACCGCGCTGTCCAAAATCAAGGAAATAGTACATTGCATGGTCAACAATAATGAATCTATACCGGTCAACATGTTGTGGCCACTATTTTTATGGGGTACTGAAGAAGACGACTATGACGAATTTCAATGGATCCTTGATACCATTCGTGGTCTTCAACATGTCTTCACCAACGCGAACATGACCGCCGACGTACTGCAAGAGACCCAAAGGAGACAGCGTGAGGGAGGCAAGCGCGTCGACATTCGTTCTGTGTGCCTGGAGTTATTCTATACCACATTTGCTATTGTTTGAAACTCACTCATCAGCTTCTGTTAACGTGACATTTGATGGAAATGACTATTTTGCGATTTTTTTTTTCATTCTTCTATCATCTAGCGGGCATCAATATGTATAATGTTTGATCTCTATTTAAACCTTCTTAGCCTTCAGCTCCTCCTCAACGGGGAGAAGGGGTGCGACCAGGCGCACGACACGTTCTTGCTTTTCTGTGTCGGAGAACTTGGGGAAGGGACGACGGCAGTGAGCACTGGAGAGGGGGTAACCACGCTCCTTGGCAATAATCCACTTCATTCCGCTGACGTCTGATGTGCCAATTCCCCATTCGGGAAGGACCAGCTTCTTCTGGAGGGCAGAAGCCTCTGCCATCTTTCCAGCCATGTACAGATCGTAAATCTCAACCATAACCTGCCAAAGATGTTAGTAATCGATCCCTTTTTTCATGGACGGGGTCTTCTCTTACCCGAGGGAAAATGTTGGCAACACCTGAAATGCAACCAGTGCTGCCAGCGGCGAAAGCGGCAACGAGCCAGTCACTCATACCAGACAAACTGGTGAACTGAGCGGGCTCAAACTGTGTGGCGACTCTCTGGGCCTTTCCGACACCTCCACAGGTCAACTTGACAGCGGCAATATTGGGGTGAGCGCCAAGCTTCTCGAGCATGTCACAGTTGACATCCAGACCGGACAAAAGGTTGGGGAAGTTGTAAATGACGATGGGGATGGGGGCACGGTCGGCGACCTCCTCGAAGAAGTCGGTAATGGCCTTCTGGGTCATGGCCCAGTGGAAGATGGAGGGCACCAGAGTGAGGGCGAAATCAGCACCGTTCTTGTAAGCGGTCTCGATCTGGACAAGGATGTCACGGGTGGAGCCAGCCAAGCAGCCCATAGTGACAGTGAAATCAGTCTTGCCGTGGGCGTCGGCGATCTCCCGAGTCTTCTTGACCAAGAGACCCTTCTCTTCGATGCTCAGAGTGGCTGATTCACCGCTAGAGCCGGCGAGAACAACTATGATTCGATTAGCTCTACACCGTAAACTCGGAGTTTGTACCAATGAGACTTACCGCCGTGCATGCCAGAAGTGACCATGTACTCCAAGTGTCGTTCTTGAGTGGGCCAGTCAATCTCCTGTTGCTGATCATCCTGGAAGAAGGTGATAGAAGGGCCATGAATGCCGGGAGGGAAGGACTTGTTGATCTTGGTGGATCCCATAGCTGTAGATTGATGACTGTTGATATTGTGAATAATAGTAGATCTCCATTACCACGAATTTTGACACTCATTAAGTACTACGCTTCATCACTGTAGATGTTCGCATATCTCCACGTATCGTGGGGATCGAGGTCGGTGATGTTGGACCCGATCGGGTTATTTTTGCGACGCGATCGGATCTCCGGTCGGATCCTCGCGATCGCATTTAGATATCTTGTGGAGTCGTGAAGAGGGGTATCTTCGTGGCGCCGGGTGGTATCGCGTGGCTGTTTTAGTTCGCTTAGATTCTTCACCATAGGAACAAGCCCTTGAGTGATAATGCAGTCAGCATATAGATCTTATGAAGATAAAAACCAGTGGAACCAGTGGAACCAGTGGATATCTCCCGAGGTCTGCATTTTGCGGGGGAAATTACGTATGCCAAGAAACTCAAATTGGCAATCTATTCAAACATACTTCCAAGGTTACTCTTGGACGAAATGTGCTTTTGTTCATAGATTAGAATTCGTTCCTTTCGTCCAGACTATCCAGATTATCTAGATTAAGACGGTTAAGAATCCAATCTTCTATATAAATGGTCCCTTGTTCTTCAGAAAAATATACAGTTCATCATCCTCTCAGCTCCTTCTACATCTCATCTCCTCTTTCACTCAGAAACCCACTCTCGGCAATTCTAGTGGAGTATCTTCAAGATGCTCTCCACTTTGATCCAATCTGCACGCGAGTGCTCCATCAAGCGCGCTATCTCTTTATGTGCCATCCTCGCCATAGCAACTCCTGCAGCGAGCGCTGCCATCACCACAAAGCAAACCCTGGCCATAGCTGGATCGGGACCGTTTGCACACTACCGAATTGTCGCCTTGGCAAATCTGGGCGGTGGTATCCTGCTAGCCTCCTACGATGGGCGCCCAGATGGAGGAGATTCCCCATCCCCCAATTCGATCATGCAACGGCGCAGCACGGATGGTGGTGTGACTTGGGGCGAGCCGACCTACATTGCCCAAGGTCAACCAAAGACATCGTCCCTTCAGCAGTACGGATTCAGTGACCCAAGCTACGTGGTCGACTCCAAGACTGGAAAGGTCTTCAATTTCCATGTCTTCTCCAAGAACCAGGGCTTCGTCAACAGTGTGATCGGAAATGACGATACCAACTTGAATATCGTGAGCTCTGAAGTCTCAGTCTCAACTGATAAGGGAGTTAGCTGGAGCACCGATCCAGACAATCAACCCTCCTTGCCTCCTGTTGCATCTTCCAATGTCGGTGCACCCCCACTCATTACCAAGGCAATCAAGCCGGTGGGCAGCACTGTCAACGGAGTTGCCAACGTCGGTGGAATTACCGGACTGTTCGCTTCATCCGGGGAGGGCATTCAACTCAAATATGGCGCACACGCCGGACGTCTGGTTCAACAATTCCTCGGAAAAGTCATCCAACCTAGCGGTTCGAAGGTCTCACAAGCCTACAGCGTCTACAGTGATGACGGCGGCGCTACATGGAAGAAGGGAAATGTTGTTGGTGTTGGAATGGATGAGAACAAAGTCGTGGAGCTGTCTAATGGAAATTTGATGCTCAACTCACGCCCGAGTGATGGTAGCGGATATCGCAAGGTTGCAACCTCAACTGATGGTGGTGAGAACTGGTCAACCCCTGCAAGCGAGACCCAGCTCCCCGACCCAGGAAACAACGGTGCGATCGCAAGAGCGTATCCTGATGCGGCACAGGGTTCGGCTAATGCCAAGATCCTCTTGTTCACCAACGCAAACAGCAAGACTAGCCGGAGCAATGGTACAATCCGCTATTCTTGTGACGATGGAAAGACTTGGTCTGCTGGTTCGGTCTTCCAGGCAGGCACAATGGCTTATTCCACTGTCACTGCCCTTGGTGATGACAAGTTTGGAATCTTTTACGAGGGCGGTAACAACGACCTTGTCTACATTGAGGTTTCCAAGGCGTTCATTGGCATTTCTTGCTGATTATACTCCGATTAGCGGTATACTTGCTTGAAAGCTGGATTTTACTTTTTTGTCTAGGTATATACTTATGTACTAGAACGTCATTTTCAATGGCATGATTCAGGACCGGACCCAAGAACAGTGGTAGAATGATGGAATTTGTAGCTAGGCGATTTGTTGCAGAAATCTTCTTATGTTTATTGAATTGTTTCACTCGTAGCAGTAGGGGGAAAAGTCCGAGTTACTCTGAATTAAGATTAGTTGTAGGAATCTCATAGTCAAGGTGGCGTTTGAGGGATTCATGCGGAGTAAATCCATGCTAGGGTGATTCCCTGGGCATCCTCGGCAATGCATATATATATCGTGTATCCTCAAACAAAGCAGTTTGGCTTACTGTCGGTTGATGAACACCCTAATCATTGCTGCATCCCTTCTAAAGCGACAATATCTACACATATTCTTGAAATCATCGTTGATAGCGCACGTGATATATATACCATGTAGCAAGCACAGCTTGGTCATACGAACATGACTAGCAATAGAACGAATGACGTAGTAGGTAGAATTAGAACTCGGCAATAACTATCTCTAACACTATCCAAATAATAATTGCGTAGTTCCCTGTCCATGGCCAGGACTAGGTCGCGTCTTGCTATCAATCACGGCACCCCACCATTTTCCTGTGGCCCAAATTTCATCAAAAAGCACAGGAACAGAATTAAACATGCTATAACGAGATTTCTCCCCCCAGTAAGCACAATACTCCTTCACAAAATGACGCATATCTTCATCTGAGGTCTCGCTACCAGCAAGGAAGACTGGGATAAGGAGTTGCTTTTGTGTCTGGGACGTTCGTCGGCAGCACCGAATGTGATCAATCGTCTTGCGCACCAGTCTGTTGACGCTGAGAGATCGTCTGTTCCGATCACTCTTGAAGATATATTCAAGATAGAGGAGCAATGCATATCGCCAGGCCTCAGCACAGTGGTAGCGATCTTGTTGCTCGTGGAGCTGTTTTATCGCCTCCTCGTCAGTCAAGTTGGAGTTATTGTAACTTGAAGAAGAGTCTGTGTCATTCTTCCACTCGATCAGTTCCTGTTCTATTTTTGTGATAGGAGTCATGTTGAAAGTCAGCCATTTCATGGATAAGGCGACCTCGCACTGCTTGGCTAACTCGGCAAGTTGAAATAGGTGAACTAGTAATTCTCGGGGACATCCAGTCAGATCGAAGAAAGACCATTCATCTTGTTTCTCCCATCGCACCAAAAAGTCCAAGTATGCCTGGTCCATGATAGGACTCTGTCGAGATATCAAGGCGAGTGTGGCATCCCACCTTGTTTTGTGGGTCAGCAACACAACTCTCAGGAAAGGGTTTTCAGGTTATTACCAGATTAGCATTGCGACTTGTGACCTAATGCGAGGTGTCGTCAATGCACTTGGGCCACCATGAGCTTGGAGCACTGAATGGGCCCGCATCAGGTGAGTTGACCAATTCCCGGTGGCAGAGAGGGCGCACTAGGAGCGAATATTAGCTTGCAACCACATGTGATCAGAGTGAATGACTTGCATCAAGAGTAAACAGTATTAGTATAGGTTCCAGTAAGCTCAGTACTGGGCTACTTTGTAATGCACATTCAAGTAACTGAACAGCTTTCCGGCGATGTTCAGCAGCTTCACTTGGCCAGCTACCAGCCAAGCGCCCTAGGTGTTGGCAGCATAGCGCGAGGATGGAATGAAAAAGAAGGCGTGAGCGTTGGGAGGTCTGACGTTTGCAGCGGAATGGATTCACTGCCCCAGGTATGTCCCCTGTGAGAGGCAGCACGCAGAATTCTGAGTCATCTATAGTACGATAAGCTTGATATCTCATCATAAAATGGTGAGTCGATCGGAAATCTTACATAATTCAAGGAGTTTTTCATGGTCGTTGGATGAGATGTCGGATATCATAGGAACACCTTGAACACGTGCCGAAGCATAAGGGATGGGTTCTTGGTTGGTTCGAACCAAATCACCTAGAACACTTTGCTCTGATTCATCTTGAAACATGTCAATATTTTGAGCCATTGAGCTGTTTTGTAGATTATGTAACGCTGGCTCAACAGCCCTATCGGCTGGAGAAAGAGGTGTCATTGTCATTCTGGGTGTTTGTGTCAGACCCGACGCTTCTGCTGTCAGTGTCTCCTGGGGGTCGATATCGAGAAAGGGAGTGGATGCAAAAATGTTAGGAAGTAGAGAGTCAAATAAACCGAAATCATCAAAGAAATGTCCGTCTTGCAGTTCTAGAAAATGAGGGGTGAGCTACATATATAGCTTTGAACCCTTGCAGGGGTAGGAGCAGTTGAACATACCTAGACCAGCTAAGCTATTGGCCCTTTGCTGATCATCAAATAGCTCCAAGTTCTGCGCTGCGGTTCTACGCACGACTTCTGGGGTAACTGGCGAGGTTTCTGTTACAACGGATCGACTTGCTTGCTCCTTTGGCGAGTTGGCTCTTCGACGCTTCTTTGGCCTCGAGGTGCCCTTGACAAAGCGAAAGCGTTTAGGTGAATCTGACCGTGCGGCAAATGCAGTGGAGACAGCCTTGGGGGAGGAGTCGGTGACGATCTCCTCATTCGGTATATCTTTGGATGCACCAGCTGCCGAGGGATTGTCTGACCACATTCGTCTAGGATCCCAAGAAAGAGGCATGGCAAAGCCACCACATCTGCGACTTTGTCCAAGACATGTTGAACATCGGGGTCGACGCCGGTCGCACTTTTCGCCCAAAGAAGCACAAGTATGGCAGTTTGTTTGGGCAAATCCAAGTGAATTTGTTCTCTTTCCTTGATCAGAAATCATCACGTCAGATGCTGAAAGATAGTCCATTTCCTTTTTTTGCCTTGGTGTATTGTAGAGGAGTAAAGGACCCGCTCTCCTTCTGGATTAGGGAATTTGATTAGGGCAGGTGACATTGCCGCGGAATTGACCGCGGGACTTTTGTCATCTTTCAATCTATATCGGCTCGCTCTATATCGGCTCGCTCTATACAAATCGGACTCTCTTTTCAGGCTACATTTAGACTAATGCCAAAATTAAAACTCTCTCGGAAATGAGCTATTGCCATTTTACCCCAATTATCCCTCACGCAGTATCTCTTATCTTGTATATTATCCCGACGTGCCCAGTATGGGCCTGTTTTTCAAATGAAACAATTATTAATGCAAATAAACTCCCAAAATGGTCTATGCTAGGGATTAGTGCAAGTAGTCTAGGCCAACATTGCCAGGTCTTTCACAGCTTGGCCTGAACATTCCAGGCTTGATCAATCAGGTCAACCGCGGCCTGTGCACATCCATACGAGGATTGATACCCAGCACCTCCAGCACCATAATTGTGAACCACCAAAACTCCTCCAATAAGCTCCTTTTCAATTCGAGTACCGCCCTCACGGACAGGTCTCAGACCAACTCCGTGACGGATGATATCCAGATGTTCAATCCCTTTTCCATCCGTCAATGCAGGGCACATCTTGACAGCTCGCTTCATGATCCGGATTGCCAGATTTGGGTCAGGTTGAGATTCCCAATTACCCTTCTGGTATGACCCACCGAGGATAGTACCTCCACCGGCTGCACGAGTCATGACATAGCAGGCTTCTTCATCGCCATCATCCGTACCAGACATGTCCAGCATTTTTCCTGCATCGTTCCGGACGATAACAATCTGTCCTCGTGCAGGGACCACTGTAGTATCCTCCACTCCACCCAGCTTGGACGCCATCAATCCTGTGCAATTAACCACTAGGTCAACACGGCCGTTCGGGTGGATGCCTGATGCAGTCGCATCTAGAATGTGATCAAACACGCCACGCTTGAAAATGACGCCGTTGGACAGACATTGGGAAACAAGCCATGGGAGGTAGATTGCCGTGTTGATGCAAACGGAGGTAAAGACTGTGGCCGAATCTATGCCAGGGCCAAGAGACTCTTTTGGGAGTGCCCGGAACTGAACGTCGAATTAGTATCCTGATGGGGAGAAAGCATTGAAGATCTTTTTCAAGCTCACATTAGGAACAACCTTGGCGAACCAAGGGTTAGAGGATAACAGCTCTTTGAACCATTCGGCCGTCGCTGACCCGACATCCTTTGTTCGGTTGTGAATCTCACATTCTGTGTCAATTCTTTAGCAAAGGGGACACAAATAGAAAGAGATATGTACTACAGACCTTGGAAGTGTACACCTGCTCCGGGGTTGTTTCTCGCGAGATCTTCAAGGGGACCCCATGTGTTTTTGTCCCATTCTGCGGCATCGGTTCCGCTGATAGATACGCTGTGACCATAGATTAGCTATAGAACTATCATAAAATGTTCAATTGGCTCAATTGGTTTGACTTACGGCATGTAATTGGCACCGGCCCATGGTGATGCGTATTCAATATCATAGTCGCCAGGCATGTGTTTCGCTGCAACAACAATTTTGTAGCCAGACTTCTTCGACAGTAGAAGAGCCGTCGTCAGTCCAGCAACACCAGCACTGTTCAGAACATTAACAACCTGTTTTGTTTATCTGTATAGATCATCTTGATCAACTTACCCGATTACCACAATGTTCTTCGCCATTATTGGGCTTTTTTTTCACTTTGAGATCCAAAACCAGCCTGAAAACAGGAAAAAGACTGTAATATAATATTGAATCGTGTTATTTTACTTGACATGAAACTAAAGAATCTCCAAGTATGTTTTCCCGATATCACCCTTGCTCATGTGGGTCTGGATCCGATGGCCCGCTTTCCCGATCGGGCAACCAAGATATTTCCCGATCGGGAATGCGAGGGATCCCATCGGCTCCAGACAGCGATAGTCACCTACCCGATTGGGTCTTGTAGTATCACACCAATTATTACCTATTGAAGCGATCGCGATGTCGAGGTCTTACAGAGACACTTAAAGGTCCTTATATCTACCTGGACATCTACCTTTGTTCACACACTCAAGTAATTGTGACAACCTTCAAACCCTCCACCTCCCCCCCAAAAAAACAGTCAACATGGCTACCATGGAAAAGATCTTCTCTGCCTACCAGGAGCGCCAAACCGTTCTTGCGGCCAACACCCACCCCTTCGCAAAGGGTGTCGCCTGGGTTGAGGGCGAACTTACTCCCCTCCACGAGGCCCGCATCCCCATCCTCGACCAAGGTTTCATGCACAGCGACTTGACATACGATGTTCCCTCTGTCTGGGATGGACGTTTCTTCCGTCTCGATGACCACATCACCCGTCTCGAGGCCAGCTGCACTAAGCTCCGCATGAAGCTCCCCCTCCCCCGCGAGGAGGTCAAGAAGATCCTTGTCGACATGGTCGCACAGAGTGGTATCCGTGACGCATTCGTCGAGATCATCGTCACCCGTGGCTTGAAGGGTGTCCGTGGCGCTCGCCCTGGTGATATCGTCAACCGCATATATATGTTTATTCAGCCCTATGTCTGGTGCATGGAGCCCGAGGTTCAGCCCACTGGTGGAAGCGCCATTATCGCCCGCACTGTCCGTCGCGTTCCTCCCGGCTGTATCGACCCCACCGTTAAGAATCTCCAATGGGGTGATCTTGTTCGCGGTCTTTTCGAGGCTTCGGATCGTGGCGCCGAGTACCCCTTCCTTACCGATGGTGATACCAACCTCACTGAGGGTTCCGGATTCAACATTGTTCTGATCAAGGATAATGTTCTGTACACTCCCGCTCGTGGCGTGCTTGAGGGTGTTACCCGCAAGAGTGTGATTGATGTTGCTCGCGCCAGCGGCCTTGAGATTAAGGTTGAGTTGGTCCCTGTGCAGAAGGCTTATGATGCGGATGAGATCTTCATGTGCACCACTGCTGGAGGTATCATGCCCATTACCAGTCTTGATGGCAATCCCGTGAAGGATGGAAAGGTTGGACCTGTTACCAAGAAGATCTGGGATGGATACTGGGCTATCCACTATGACGATGCCTACAGCTTCGAGATTGCCTACTAGGTTACTCCTGTTCGGTTATTTTCACGATCCATGATGCACGGTCTGGTTATTTGGGACAATATATAGAAGTTACGGGATCACTGCAAGCCACTGTCATCACTAGGCTACCAGTGTGGGATTGCCATGTTATTAATGAAATCAATTTTCTGAAGCAACCAAAATCAAAGTCACAGTTCAACTTTCATTTCTATAAAGCCATTGATGTTTGCCTTTTTCCATCGTATTGAGTGCCTACCTCATAGACGGGCGTCGGTCGGCATCTCTGTAGCAGCAAAATAGCTTATCTTTCTCTTGCGCAATACCGG